TGCAACTTTCACTCCTAAAAATGATTTACTAATAATCTGTTAGTGCCCTTCAACATAGTACGGAGGCTTTAGTTTTCAAATTTTGTCTTAAAAGGTGTTGGAATTCGAATTTAAGAGGTAACAACTACTCCTCCTACTTTGTGTTCAAGAACTAAACAGTTTCCATCAGCAACAACAGACACTTAAAACCCGACGTACCACGCTAGGGAAAGTTGAATTAGGTTGGAATATGGTTTAGCGTAGCCAGATGAAGACCTGGCAACAATTGATGAAGTTCCAAACTGTTTGTCTTAAGCCATCTGAGGAGATGTAGACTGCCTAAATGGGGTCACCTAGACAATAGGAATCAGCAGTTGAGGGCTATTGGTAACATGGCTGAAAATCAGTCGCAATGGCGCAGATGCATTCAGTCCTTTACGTTTTCTAAAGCTTGAATATTTACACTAACCGTTATCTTTAGAACGTTTTTTTTCCTCACACTACTTCATCTACGTTGATATCACTCTTTTTCTTTTCACTTGTTCTTTGCGTATTACTGTTAAGTGTAGCAACTTGAGCCGATGCACCTGTGTGCAAGGTTTTAAGTTGATTCTATCTGTCACTTTGTCTGTCTTAAAACAGAAAAAATTACTTTCTTTGATCCCAGATGAAAACTATTCATAGAGTTGATACTATCGATCGCGTCCATAGGCTTTCAACTAATGAAATTATGTCTTCTTGACAGCTAAAATTTCATTGTTTCAAGAGATGCAGTTTCAAAATCAGAGATATTCAAACTAACTATCAGATATTCAATTTACTAAGCTAGGATGTCTGAACAAAAAAATCCGGAGAATACTGGCACTACTGTACCTGAGAAATAGAGTGGTGTTCAAGCGCACTCATTACCTTCCAACCCACTGATGATCGGATCGTGTTCATAATTCAGCTCCACGAGGGGTCAATCATGGCCCGAGTAGCTCAGTGGTTAAGTCCATGGCCTCATTACTGAGTAGAACAGGCTCGAATCACAGAGGGAACACCAGTTTCCTCATGTTTGCACATACGCTTTGCTGAGGAGTGCTAACAAGCACGAAATCCAGGTGTAGGCCGTCCTGACGACTGACTTCCACTATCTAACAACAAAACCCGAGTATCTCAAATACGGCATATTTAAAGATACTTTGACTACAGTAATTTCTATCATTGTTACTGGAAATTTTGAAGTTATTTCCATTTAAAACTCATAAAAGAATAAACTTGTTACTAGTATTACATTTTTAACAACTAAATCGAGAGTAAAAACTTCAATGATAGTCAGATTTCTGATGAATTGACCAAAGTTGAAAGGTGTGAACAACTTAATTAGAATACAACTGCTGAAATGTGATGTACTTGTCATAAGAAGTGGAAATCTTGAACTTGATCTCGTTTCTACTACAGAGTTTACACCACAAGGCTGTTCAAAGTTATTGTGATACAACTGTCCAATTTCCTTTGACTTAAAATAGTTTTCGAAGCGATACCAGTTCATGATGAGAATAATATTTAAATCAATCATTTCTTCATAAGTCATATTCATGAAAAAAAAAAGTCCTAAATTAATGACATTAGGCTTACTTGCTAATCGTCTGCAAACTGATGGTTGAGTTAATTTATCTTTCTCAGGTGAAGTTTTCAAAGATATCCATATAATATCAGCTATCTTACTACCTAGTCGAATAGCGTTGATTCGGAAAACATGATCATTCTTCTTTGCATTTAAATTACTGAAATCAAATACATTTCTTTTAACATTAATATTGTATTTAATTTTGTAGAAAGTGAAACGCCAAGTTGACCGATGAAGCCGAAACTTACATATTCGTCGAATACACTTAGCAGCTGATAATGGCTGACCAGAAAATCGACAAAATACAGCTAAAACATTTTGGAAAAATAAAATATGAGAAGAAATGCAGTTCCATTTTTTTTTCCCAGTAAAAGTAAAGTAGCCTAATCTAACGAAAGTGGTCGAGAATACATAAACGACGTGTTCATCAAAACTAAATGACTACTTTCTTTAAAAAGAGCTGTCAAATGACGCTCAAATCACTAACCCTACAGACACAATGTAAATGTAGAGAAAACTGGACATCCGACTTCAAGTTACCGTAATTCAAGGAAAGAGGAAGGAAAAATCATCATAGGAAAAGAAAAGATGGTAGTAGATGAAAAAGAATGGATACACAAAAGATAATACAATTATCAATACTTACAGTGAGATGCAGAACGTGTCAAATATTGCAGTTGAAACCTCACCTGGTTAACTAGTTCACTAGTTACTAGACGGTCCTAAACCTGGACAAACAGGGAACGTTGGGCATACGGCTAGCAACCCTATCCCGAAAAAACCAATCCAATAGCTAAAGAAACTTCAATGCACAAAGAAATTATAGGAAATAAAAACAAACTTATTCCCCCCCCCCCCCTGGAATCGGATAGACGAAATGACGCCAGTTGGTGAAAGCCTTCGGGAAGCCAGTCGGCCGATCTGTCTTCTATTCTCTTCTCCCGATGAAAGCGAAAGTAAGGATGGCGACATGGAATGTCCGCACCATGTATGAACCTAGCTGGCAGGGCTGCCCAGATTGCAAAAGAGATGAGGAGCTATGGCATGGAAGTGCCAGGCTGGGAATCTGCAAAAGCAGATCGAATGGAAGTGGACTCTCAAAACTCTTAACTGGAGAGTCAATAATCTACTCCGATATTGTCACCCAGACGACAACCACGAGCACACTGACTTCTCCAGTGGTTATCATAGTGTCTCCAAGAACATCGAAGGATCTCTCTCATACAGTGGGAACCAGTCTCCTCCTCAAGGATCACGACAGCAAGATTCAACTCAGAAGAGGGAAGGAAAGTCACAATCATACAATGCTATGCTACGCACCTACAAATAATGCAGATCAAGAGAAGAAGGAGGAATTCTATAGACAACTGGACAAGACTCCAACCCAGTTGGCGGTGGTGACATCAAAATTATAATGGGTGGGGTGACATGAATGCCAAACTGCGAGGAGCAGACAACACAGGAAGAGAACTAACCATGGGTCGAGAAGCACTCGGTGAAATGATAAATGAGAATCGAGAACTGTTTGCAGATTTCTGCGCATTCAACGATTTGCTGATTGGAGTCAGGCAGTGTGTACAAACACAAGGATATTCACAAAGCGATATGGACTTCACCAGACAGACACACTACACTAAAAATCAGATAGACTTCATCTCAATCTGAAGGAAGTGGAGACGCAGCCTACTGGACACAAGACCAGATCAAGATGAGGAGCAGATGTAGGTTCACATCACTCACTATTTATCTAGTGAAAGCAACCTACCTTCATAGTCAAGTTGAAAGCGTTCACAGAAGTTGGTGGTAGACCGCAGTCCAAGTTCAACACCCAGAACACAAACTGAACTGAAGGACAAAACTATAAAGGACACCTTCACGTCAGCCAGCCATCAGAATAAAATGGGAGACAATGAGCGACATCTCTGAAGGACCGGGCGTGGAAGAACACTAGAAGAGGCAAGACGGGACAAGGAATGGATCTCGACAGACACATGGAAGCTGATCGATGAGGGATAGGAAGATGGTGAAGCAGAAGATGAACCAGTGCAGTGCATGGATGCACAACGAAAAGAAGAACTGAGTACAATGTATAGAACACTACACTGGACAAAGAAATCAAAAAGAGTGCTCGCAAAGACAAAAGACACTTCTACAACACACTGGCAAGTGAAGCAGAACAGGCTGCAGGCAGGAGAGACAGAAACCTGACAGCATCATATCAAATAACCAGGTTACTATCTGGGAGGGAAGAGATCAACGCAGATGAAAACAGTGAGAGATAGTGAAGGAAACCTAGTAGGCAAAGAGGAGAAACAAAGGAAACAATGGGCTGACCACTTCAAAAAAACTCTTGAATCGACCACCAACACCACCACCACCACCACCATATGCAACTCGTCCAGAAATACCACCAGCAACGGCAGAACTGCCAGTGAACACAGGCCCTCCGACAAAAGCAGAAGTGAAGTCCTGAATGCCATAAAACTGCTGAAATTCGGGAAAGCAGCAGGACCAAATCGAGTCCCACCAGAAGCAATGAGAACAGACGCAGAGACAACAGCGGACATGTTCACATCACTACTGCAGAAGGTTTGGAAGGAAGGAAATGTACCTGTCTGTCGATTGGAAGAAGGGCTACCTTGCCAAACTCCCAAAAGAAGGGAAACCTAAGCCTTTGCATGAACTGGCGAGGAATCATGCTGCTGTCCACCCGAAGCAAAATACTAAGCCGCATCATCCTGGAGAGACTAAAGGATGCGCTGTATTCAAAATTACCACCGGAACAGGCTGGCTGGCTGACTGACTGACTGGCTTACTTCAGGAAGAACAAACCATGTGCGGATCAACTTGCAACGCTACACTACGCATCATCATAGAACGGAGTATAGAATGGCAATGAGCTCTCTGCCTCAACTTTGTCGACTTTGAAAAGGTCTTTGACAGTGTCGACCGAGAAGTAATTTGGTAGGCAGCTGCTTCAACACTACGGAATACCACAAATCTTTATCAACTTCATTCAACAGCTATATGACGACGCCACATGCCAAGTGATCCACAGTGGAAAGCTCAGTGATGCCTTTGAAGTGAAGATGGGAGTAAGACAAGGTTGCCGCCTACTATCACCTATCATCTTCCTGACTGTGGTGGACTGGATCATGCAGCAAACTGTGAGGAGCGAGAAGAGGGGGTTAGGCTGGATGGACCGTTGAAAAGAGCCTAGAATATTTGAATTCCGCTGATGGTTTGAGTCTGATGTCACACAAACTCGAAGATGTACAGTCGAAAACCAACAAGTTGACAGAAGAGGTAGGTCAGAGAAGACGGGACTTCAGGTGAAAGTAGAGAAGACAAAGGTGATGATGATACCCAACCTACGCCATCACCTCCACCACCAACAACAACTCCAATCACCATCAACGGGAGAAACTTAAAGGAAGTAGTCTCTTTCACCTACCCACCTACCTAGGCAGCATGGTTTTACCTACACGCGGCGGCACAGATGAGGATGTCAAAACCAGGATCAGAAAATCACCAAGACAGGTCTTCACTAACCTGAAATCAGTGTGGAGATCTGCTGCACTCAACTCAGCATAAAGCGTGAACAAGATCCGAATTTTCAACACCAATTCAGTCAAGTCAGTGCTTCCATGTGATGGTTGAGAGACTTGGCACGTGACGAAAGCACTTCCAACAAACTACAGACATTCATCAACATCTGCCGCCTACGCTCACTCGATACTGAAGATCAGATGGTCAGAATAATAAGAATAAGCAACAAGGAACTCTGGCCGGGCAATTAATCAATCAAGAACCCATCATCCAACAGATATGCAGAAGGAAGTGGAGGTGGATTGGATTTGTCATACACTGAGTAGGCCGATTTGGGACATCACGTGCCAGGCTTTAGAGTGGAATTTGAGGGGGAAACGACGAGTTGGGTGTCCCAGGTGAGGGTGACATGAAGGAGATCATATGAGGAAGAAATGAAAGCTTGTGGGCAGTCGTGGTGCCAGGTTGGAAAGACTGCAGAGAAGAGAGTGTGATGGAGGCGTGCTACTGAAGCCCTATGTTCCACTAGGAATCCAACGGAGAAATTATACTAATAATTGCAGTTTAACTTAATTCATGTCAGACAACCTCTCTAATCATGGTTATTCTCTAGTAGGGATATCCAGGGTCACAGTTTCCACATTGGCAGTCAGTAAGTCAATAAACTGATATAACGCTATCCCTAGGTTTGTGGAGATTCGTTTATTAATTTCACGTTGGTGGTCATCATGGACTGATATCAGTCGGAATGTAGGAATGTACTTCTCTCAGGTTGTTTGTCTATTTATTTTCTATATTTTGGACATTAAACGCATGTACTTAGTTAGAATGGGCGATCTATCGTCGGAATCTTTTGTGGCTCTCCATTTCTTACTGACTAAATGTCTCCATATTTTGCAGTCAAATTTATGGAGTGAGTATATTTTGATTAACTGACTTCCTCTAATTGATAAGACAATAGATGTTCGCTACTGGCTGCTCTGCAGGGGATTCATGAAATCTTACTTCATCAACTATTGTGTGTGTGAGACTTTTTGAGTATTCAGCATAACATATTTTATATCTTCCGAAAATGATCATCAGATTGACATCAGGATATTTCCCGAGACTGTTGCAAAGTAGATGAATAAATCCACGTATCTAACCAACCTTAGTGTCGTGTAAGGCTTTGTTTCATAGTTATTGACTTCCTTAGGAAGTCAGGGAAGCCCTGATGGGTCAGTGAACAATGAAATCTCGGCACGGAAACATAAGACTCGATTGGCTTTTGCAACATTACGCTTTCTATGAAACTGATAAAATATGCATCCGTTTGGTAAGAATTGAGTTTATTGCGAGGCACGTCTTTCTGTTATACTATATTACCAAAACATATGGCAGTTGAAGGTGGAGAAAATGAGAACGCTTCAGGTGCTCGACCAACAGTGCCTTATAAGTGTTGATCGTGTGTCGAAGAACCACTTTGTTGGTAATGTAGGGGTTAAATGAAGAGTTTTATGTAAAGTAGGTAATTCACATGATGAGATTGCACATCTTCATTGAGTGGTGTCTAAAAGATGCGTTATGCATACCTAACTACTGTGTACCCCGATGAGGAAAAACTACTGAATAAGGGCTAGGGTTACTTGTCGCCAGAATAAAACATGACACTAATCCATGAAACCTTTGACTGTTGGTCTTAGTTCTGTACGGAGGTGTAGTACTGATAGCTGAAGGCTCTAGGCTATGTAGGTCAGAATTGACCTCAGTGGAGTAGATACATTCATACATTATCGTGTTTCGTTGTTTGCATAATCCTTCATTCCTTTTGTCCTATTGTGGTGGATGGTACTGATAAGAATGGATATAAGTAGTATATGTTGAGAGGTCGGCAAAAGTCAAAGGTAATTGCCAACGATAGGTAAATATTCTGCAGAGAGGAAGGCAAGAGACAATGTGGGCGTATTAAGAGTAAGTCGAGATAGAGGCAAAAGAGGAAATGAAACACATTGCACAACTGACTATTTTAGTGGAAAGTGTACAATATTTCATCAGGATGTGACGCTTTTAAGAACGATGATTTCGACGCAAACTTTTCCATTACGGATTTGGATATTCGCGTTTGTCTATGCAGCTATTGAGAAAACTAATTCGTGTATTTGCTACGCCAAGATCGACTTTTGTCGAAATCATCGTTCTTTAAAGCGTCACACACTGAATTTCATCAGTACTTTACAAGATGTCGTAATAAACGTTATGTCCCGCGTCTCAGTCTTGTTGTTTCTTACACTATGACTTTCGTAGGACGTTTGGTTACACTTTATCTTGTTGGATTAGATAGGGTGATGAGAAGTCTGTTAGTCTTGTCAGGTTTCATGACTAATACTGAATAAACTTAGAAAAAGACAGTGAATATTATACTTACGAGGATTACTTCTAGGTATAGTTATCACCAAATTAGAATGTACTTCAATTCCAAGCCATTTGATAGGAGTATCTGCAAATTGATAAAAACAATAGGAAATAAAGATATCTGAGTTCATTTCATCGCAAAAAATCTACATGTGTTGAGAAATGATTGAAACCGTGAGTATCGTAAGTTCTATTTTAGTCCGTTTATTAGAAATGTCATACAGTAAAACAGTATTATTTACTGGATAACGTTTCGAAAATAATTTATTATCCATATTCCTATTAGGACAATAAATTATGTATGAAACGTTATCTAGTAAATAATACCGTTTCACTGTGTCACAGTACTAATAAACAGATTAAAATGGAACTACAATCTACCACAGTGCCCAAGTTTTACTCCTATACCAATAGTGTCATAAGTTATTCTTAGATTTTAACTTTTAAGGAATAAACCTTTTGATATCAAGTAAAATGTCATTATCAGTAAGAAAAATTCACTGAGGGATATGATCCGGCTTTCTATACATATCCATGGAAAACGAACTTCTCAGAGATTGTCCAAATGCTCTAGAAATGAATGAGAATTACTCCAATATGGTTGACTGATGTCTTATGTTCAGATGTACTGAAACTAGCTAATGCTTCGGTGTAGTTGGATAGTTCTTTTTCAGTTAAACGAATTGAATGGAATTCACCTAAAAATAAATTCTCTACTCTGAATTCCCTGTATATCATCATAAATTATGTTGTGTAAACTCCTTAATATGTTTAAGTGGAGTTTTCGTTAATCTTAACAAAAATGATTTCACTCTAACAAGGTCTCTTGTTTTGTGTAAATATGATTGAGTGATTGAACGGTTTGTCCTAGAATATTCGTAATTCAACTAATGAATTGTATGTTCTCAAAATTAAGATAGTTAGAATAGCTTAATCTAGTTATGCAGAATCATTACCTACGTTTCGACTGACATAATGGCATTTTACTTACCAATGATTATATGCAGTGGAAAAAATTATATCAACTCGTGGGGTTTCTGGAATTCTTCTACACATTTCAAGAAAATTTCAGTTTCAATCAAGGTCCTAGTATTTTTATTTTGTACTGTTTAGCTTTAGTCATGCGAGATGACAAATCCTATTCCTCTTTCTAAAGATGGTGAGATTTTTTGGTTTAAACAAATACCTAGAGATGAAATGTCAACTGCTTACTGAGTTCATGAAATGCTTACTTTTAGGTATACTAAAATAAGTTTTGTAGCACATTTCTTAAAAAAATTTAGACCCTTTATTTGAGGTGAGGAAATTACGAGATAAAACTACGCCAGCCTCTTTATTCATTTAAATAAAAAGGTCGTGCAAGCAAATTCTACCTGCAATATATATGGATGGGGAGTTTTATCTACTCAAAATCCAATCATATTGAATTCCTTCCAGTTTGATCAATGAGACGAAAACTAAACGGAAATTTTGTTGACGTACACTTATAAAGAGTCTATTTAAATGGATTACCTAAGAAGCTGGTGTCTTACATGACGTAAGAGTATTTCTCAAACCAAAGTAAAGGTACAATAAATTACTCAGTTCGCGAAAATGTTTCCATTTTTAGCATTTCACTATTTCATTACAGAATACGCCGTTAGTATGCATTCACTCAAAAAAGACACTTTGTTTTGCAAAAGCAAGAAAACCATGGCAGATATTGTAGGGAAATTCATCATTAATAATATGCAATGACGTGTTACTGATTTAAAGAATCTGCACATGTCATTCACCATAGCCAACTGGAAATTTGGTGTTATGAACCGTATATACTGATATAATCCTATTATGTTTTATTCAAATCGATACGCCAAACTGCAACAAATAAATTGGGGTTTGAAAACCTGTGTCACAGGAAACTACTGAATAGATGAACGAATTATATAAAGCTGGATGAAAAAAAATACTCATTAACATAATTCTATGGCTGACGACCGATTGAGCACTATTTTACAAAACCAACTTTTTTAAACAAAACCAGTAATCACAGAAACAATGCAGCTGAGTATGAAATACTATCTCGCCTGAATACGCTGATTGAAATATAATTCAGTTAGATGATTTTCAAGCAGTCAATTTATTTAAAGATATGTTTCATAAGAAAGCAACGTAAGTCGAAGGATTACTGAAAAAGCCGCAACACAGCGGGTCACTTCAGTAGTATTCCATTTTGAACCAACACAAAGTTCAGGTCTGACCGGCTACCAATGAATCATTGGGTCAAAATTCACTAGTGATTGTCCTTCCAACCAAAATCACTACGCAGATGGTAATAAAACAATAGTTTCTCATAACTGGAGTTAGAATAAAGAAACTACAGAACTCAGAAGTAGTGGTTCATTGTTAATACATTATTTATTATATTATTATTTATTTGTCCCTTGGGTTCCTAAAAGAACATAGGGCTTCAGTAGCATGTCTCCAGTGCACTCTGTTTCTCTGCAAACTTGTGAACCTGATTCCACGACAGCCCATAAGCTTTCATTTCCTTCTCACACAATCTCCTCCATGTCACCCTCGCCTCAGAGGCTCAACTCGTTGTTTCCTATCTGGGTTCCACTCGAAGGCCTGGAGCATGATGTCCCTAGTCGGCCTTCTCAGTGTATGCTCAATCCATCTCCACTTCCTTCTGCATATTTGTTCAGCAATAAGTCCTTGATTGGTTCGTTGCCAGAGTTTCTTGATGCTTATTCTTTCTGGCCATCTGATCTTCAGTAAGGAGCGTAGGCAGTTGTTGATGAATGTCCGTAGTTTTGTTGAAAATCCCTTTCGTAACATAAGCGATCAAAAATGTTTTCCAATCCAGTCTTATTTAAGGCTGAGACTAAACACTGACCAACCAATTTATCTGTTCCAGTCCTACAAGAAGTCAGTCACCGCCCGAATAGCTCAGTGGTAAAATCACTCACTGCAATACTAGGTGAAGCAGTTTTGAATCTCAGGCGGGACATCACTTCTCCAGAGGTTGCAGATACGCCTTGCTGACGAGTACCAACAAGCATAAAACCTAGATTCAAGGCTTCCTGCCAATTGCCTTCAACCAACTAACACTCTTAAGAAGTTCACAGCCACACCAAACGACAGCTGTGGTGCACATTGGTATAAAGTGGTCCTCTATTCAATACCACTCTACGATTTAAACTGTTTTGTACATGGAAGTACCGAAATAATGACTAGTAGGCTGTACATTAAACCGGATGTTACGGCTAATATTTTATTTAAAACTTGATACTACTAACTTATTATGATTGAAGAATTTCTAACTTGGGTAACAAGTGATGCCCATCCCAGTGTTCGGAAGAAAATGATTTCTTTCAAAGATGTTGACAAACCTCTCCTAGGAGGATGAGGATGAAACATACGTCCAGGACATTTAATTGATGAACTCCAATATTTAACGCCAAACAAATATAATACAAAGCCATATCCATTAGCTGATTGGTCCCCAGACAGCAATCAGTCTTTAGAACTTGAGGTATATGATGTTCTTCGTTCAGCAACCTATCTATATAAAACAATAACTACAGTAGAATCTTGTAGTAAGAGTAAATTTCTGAGCAACATGAACACTTATATTTAGTAGTACAGTATTATAGAAAAATAATGGCAAATATTTAAGACTATACATTTTCGACTTAACGTCCTTAAAAAAGGTTATCTTTTTACGCCATCATAAGATAGGATAGTTATCCCTGATAAAATAACGATTCTACAAAGTGCAGTTTTTATAATAACTGAAAGTATAAATATGTAGATTTCTATTTTTGTGCGTTCCAAAAACTGTGCTATGTCATAAATTGAATGCAGTTAAAATAATTTGACATAGAATCATGATTACAGGAGAGATTAAAGGCTCTAAATTTTTTCACCAGACAGAAGACAACCAGTGCAGTACTAAGGAAAATAAGATGGTGAAACAACTGTTCGCCTTACTTCAATTTCTCACAATAGCTCCACTGACATGAATTTGACATAACTACTGTACATCATTAAAAATTTATCAACTTGATATTCTATAATAGAGGGTAAAAAGCAAGTCTTACTTGAATTATATAAATTATTCTGGGATTTTTCTTCATTGCTGCACAACCATAAGACTTAAGCTCTATAAGAAAGAAAAGATAAATGAAAGTTAGGGGTGGAGATTACAGTATGTGATATTAAACTGTATTATTTTGGATTTAGTAGTGATAAGCATATATTCAATGCATTCCATGCAATGTACAGCGAAAAATGCACTATCCAATGGTTTATTATTAAAATATAGTGATGAATATTTGCAACTAATGTAGTAACCAAGGTCACTAATGGACATTCATTGCAAACAAAGCGTAGACTGATTTAGAAAGGTAATTGGTAAGCGGGCTTATGCTTAGGTTTCTCGTATAGTGGATATAAACAGGAAGCTTGGAGAAAGTGTTACCTAGACCGATCTATTCGGTCAATTCAACGACGAGAAATAACAAGCAACAACATCAAAACTATACATGTCACACAAGCAGTGGCTACCGTCACTCAGGGGCTTAGTGGATAACGCTGTATTGTTTGAAACGATCAGCCCTGGGTTTGCGTCCTAGTCGGAAGAAAATAACTCGCCAAGAAGCAGGTACAACCAGATGACGAGGCTCAAATAGGACGAACCGTGTGTCTGGAATTCCTCTGCTACCGACTACCCATAATTACTACAAAACTGAAACTAAAAGAAATATCGAGGCATCCGCGCAGGACACCATGTTTCCATAGAGGCCGATCAATTAGGTGCAATCAACAATGGGTAATTATTTAACTATTTCTAATTGCTTCATCAAACGTTTCAGCGAGCAATACTGTAACTCAGGTATTTAGCATATTACTTACAACGGTTTACCTCAGCATCTAACAATCACTTTGATGACATCATCCTCTGGAAAAGCTTGGCTTCCAGTTACAAATTCAATTTCCCCCTACTAATGACAGCGGCCAGCTTAAACCGTGGGTTAGTGAAAACTTTCCACTAAATGTATTACATCAAATCGGTCCTTTTGAGCTTGTTTCGATCATTCAAATATGTCTTCAAGTCGCAATATATAACCTTAGACATCTTCAAAATGTTTTTAATCTATCTTTTAAATGACTTTAAAGGCCGCCCTAGTAATAACTGAAGTAGCCAATCAGATTTCTCTATTTATATTGAAAAGGCAGATTATCATAAAATAACGAAATCTAATTGGTTATTTCAGTTGTTGTTGTTAGGATGACCTTTAGAGTCACTCTTTTAGTTTCACAAGTTAGAGAAAACATCACGTTCAACGGTGATGGACTCTTAAGCATACACCAATATATCATCTAACGAATACTGAAATAGTTAGCCTGAAGTACAGATTTTTCACAGTGGCTGAATGAACCTCCATCAACAAATTTATTCACGTCTTTCTACTCGACACTGCTCTGTAACGAAATAGCAACATGGTAGACGACAACAACTGGTCGTTATATCTTATTGCTGATATGACTACTTATAATAACATTATTTGGATGTCATAATTGTTTCATTTGAGATTATTGTGCACGGAGTAAATTTTTTGAAATGTTTCACACAGAGAATACTATATTTTGTTAAAAACATTCTTTAAAATAAAGCTGTTATTACTAAATCTTGTCGCTCTATTGGGACTCTTAGTACTTTTTTATGTGAACCTAAAATCAGTGTCAGAAGAAACTTATAAGTTATCATTTATTGATTTTTGAGAAACTAGTTGTGAAAAAAAGTAGATCTGACTACAGAAAATACAATTCTTTTACATGCTTAATTCCAACAATATGGAATTCGATTAGATGAATAAGCTGATTTGGAGAAAAAGAAATTGATGAAAAGGAGAATGAAGAAAGAGTGTTTTGTAATTCCCTACACAAGGCATGCAGCATATTCTAACACATTAAATTTTGCGTTATAACAGGTGTAACACTTTTCATGCCACAAGTTATCCTAATAATGGGTTGAGATATACTGTACACACCAAAAGCACATATTTCTTCCTAATTAATGAAACTGAAATAACTAAGATAAAGTAATCATGCATCAAACATGCATTCCAGTGAATATTTAGGACTTAAGTTGTGTACTGGTCACTAGTTGACGGTCAACTCATGCATATGTAATGACCTGCTACATATAATCAGTGGTTGTCTTAACGGCTAAAGCCTTCGATTTTAACAGTGACTGAGGCAGGTTCTGGTCTGCTACACAAAACAAATTTTCGTAAGATTGTCGATACGTTTAGCTGATAGGCGCTAAAAAGCGCGAAGTGCACATTCATAACTTTCTACCGACTGACTCCAAGCACTAAGAACTAAACAAATTTTAGAGCAGCGTTGCCACATAGCTGAGTAGCCACACTACAACACTTGATTGATGGAATTTAACCAATAGCTGAATCATAACAGTTACAAGGATTACCACAAGGCCAAAAACCTGTGTAGTAACACATTTCTGGGCTACCAGATGAATTACTTGATGATTATTTCTCATACATGCTTTAATCCTCAAAACAGTGATTCTTACAATGAGAAGGGTGTGAATTTCAGCGAAATACACCCTATTTTACTCAATATAGTAGATACAGCCCATTTATGAGCACTAGGGATTATAATTAAACTTTGGTTCAAGAATAACTGCCGATTCCAGCAATGCATCTTGGTCCGCAAAATCAACGTTTAAATGCATAACAATAAATATGATCCGATCACCATCAACACAATTTTGTCGCAAAGTGATCCATAAAGAAACAATTCAGCTATCATTTAAAATACTATAGTAAACGACCTGATAGTTACTACTTATTCAGCTACCACTCTATATTTCACATATTTACTCCTATTGTGCAAATGAATACCTTAGTCATATGTGATTAGAGTGATAATTTATGATTAATAATTGATAATGATAATAATAATAATAATAACAATAATGATAATAATGTAGAACAACTCAGAACAGTTTCATATGCCAGGCTATAAGTCAGAAATTGCTATGTGACGGCTTATCACACTACTCCGTTGTTCAAGGCCTAAGAGTATGAAGCGGAATTTGAACTCCGAATGGATGGTTACAAAACTGAGTGCTCGAAATCATGACAAACAGACAGACTAGATCAACGTAGGACTAGGCATTACTGTGTAATGGTTCAAGTTTCCAAACTTAATATCAGCACATCACGTAACAAGGAGATAAACAAGAAAGCAATCAAATATGATGGAGAGTTGTGAAAAGAGAGATAGGGGGAATGATAGAATCTTGAAGTTCAATGACCAAGACGAAGATAATGAGTGCTTAAATCTGAGCCACTGACATCGATTCTAAGTCATATCACCAAGAGTCTCCAACCGTTGGTTTCTGTTGTCAAGCGGACCTTAACTGGTCAGTCTGCATTTCCCTTTATGACTCAGACCAACAGTCAAAGAGTGATGCCATGTTTCAGTCTGACTGTCTCACCCGAACCTACTTCAGCTAACATTTTGTGAAGCGGCAGATGATGACCTTGCATATCTAACAAATTTCTCGACCACTTGAATAGATGAAGATTCACAACCTCATAAACTGACTTTTCCCTCGCTAAAACTCTACACTTGACTTATCCATTGATAACGTGATGACATCAAGATACCTGATCCATGCTGTGAAGGCAACGATTGTCGAATACCTGAAGCCTCCCCATGTTCTCTACCTTTAATGACCATGGCTCCCAGCTATACAGTAGAACCGAGTGAACTGAAGCAAAGTACACTCACCCCTAAAAGATAATCTGATACCACATAAGCGCCACAAATGTCATAAGTTGGCGAAAACCAACCAAGCCTTTTGTATTCGTCCAGAGATTGCCCTGGTTACTGATCCGCCACCGCTAATTCGACCTCCCAAGTGAAGTGTTCAACGCACACCAGCCCCGGAGTAACAATATGCATTCGGGTGACGAGAAACGCATCCCGAAAATTGGTGAACTGCTACTCAGGGTGTCCAGAAGACTCTGAAGTTCGTCAGTGTCTTCGCCTAACAGGACCATTTTGTCTCTGTATTCTATATATATATATATATATATATATATATATATATATATATATATATATATATATATATGCGATTCTCCTGTGATAAGATCAGTTCCTGTGAAGTTAGACGATGAGAGACCTCCATAAGTACGTAGAAGACAAGGTTGAATAGGTATAGAGAGAGTAGACATCCTGAAGGACACCACTCGACGTACACAACTCACCTGACAACTTACCATAGGCTCCAACACCCACGGTGCTCGAATTTAGAGCCTTTAACAGAGTAACGGACTTATTCGGGAGCCCTTTTGGTGGCAGAAACTACCATATGGCCTTTCGGTCGACGGAGCTGAATGGCCTATTCAGGTCAAGAAATACAGCTCACGCCGGTCGTAGGTAAGTGAGTCAATTAGCAACATCTCAACTCTTGGTATAAATAAAGGACAACTGGTATCCAAAATAACAATTTTTGTTGATGAAACCATCTCAAATAATTTAGTTTGACAAAACTGATATATTAGGGTGATGACTGAAGTCTTAAGAAAAGTTAGGTCATGGAAGTCACCTAGTCATCAGTTTAACTAACAATTAATTACTTGTTTCTCCTCTCTAATTCAGCTTCAGTTAAATAAGACCTGACTGGGCTGTGGCTGTAATAATGATCAAAAAACGAATACATACATCATTCATCCTTATTACGACCAGAAAGGACCTGAATGATCGGAATGAGATTGAAACTTAGTTAGTAGGTGGACCTCGTAGCTCAGTTGGTAGAGCATAAGACTGGTATCTCAGAGGTTACCGAATCGAATCCTGCTAAAATAACCACGTTTTCTTTCCGTATTATTCATTACTGTATTAGTTTAAAGAACATTTTGCCTTTGTGTAGTGACTCCTTAATTTCCAAATGATGGAGAAACAGAAGAGACTGTTTATGGTTATCACATAATAAGCTGATAGTTTTAAAGAGCATTCGAGCTTCAAGGAAGTTACACAAAATGTGACAAACAATGTTCTTACTGTTTTGTAATTCTGTCATAATACTCAATAAATCCTTCTTAGAAGTCGAGATGCACAAGTAGTCATCTAAATAACGAAGAATAGTTGAATATTTACTGACACTATGATTAGTTGTTTCGAATACAGAATTTTGTAGCGATTTATGTGGAGACCAAAGAATACGCGTTGCATACAGTTCTCGATCCAAACAAGATAAATATATATTTGCTAGATCTGATGAAATACAAGAACCTTGTGGAATGCCTTTCACAAATGAGTATAAATTCCCACCAATCTGTAAAGCAAAAAACGAGTTTATAAATATTTGTATCTATTCAAGACTTTAGACAAATGAATTTCAACAAAAGAAGGAATGGTGCTCATTCCACCTATCAAGTACAATACGTAGAATAACTATCTTACAACATAAACTCTTGCGGAAATGCAACACATTAGTCTAAAGGGTTGGCTTTCAATCGTTAGTATTGCGCTTGAATATCGTTCGATCTACGACAGTTCTAACAGTCAGACGGTTTCACAAACACTAAACTTTGCTTGTTACTTAGTGTATAAGTTTGCATACAATTGCTAAGAGTTACGTTATCGTCACCATTACCACCACACTAAATCAACTAACAGTGCTTATTCACCACAAAGTAGGTTGCAAACAACAGATTTTAGTTTATTATCAACAAAGCATGAAATATCTGTTGCGCAGAACATCAACACCTACTATTCAAGTTCAAAATACATTGTTATCACTATGTTAAAGTAAAATTTCAACTTGTAAATATTGTCTATCCCCAAATTCAAAGGACGAATCAACAGATTTTCATAGTGTGTTCAAGTATATTAAAGACCTATTTAGAATAATTTCTCTCTTTCCTCTACTATTGAACAGGCTGAGTTGGGTATCAAAGGGTTATATCAATAACTAATGTGTAGATGAATGATCAAATAAAATGTATTTATGTTACACGGCCAGCAACAATGTTCATTTTTAACTTTAAGAGTATAAACGAGAGTTGATGAATGAAGGTGAAAAAAAATCTTCGAAATCAATCAGCCTGACAAATAATTTTTTTCCAAAACCTGAGCAACCTTAGATGTAAAGTGTCTGGCTTTAGTACTGAGTGATATGGGTTCAAATTTTCAATGCACCTATGTCTTGCTAATGACTAAAACAGATATGAAAGTAATGTTCAGGATTTCTTGCTAACTGATTGAAAAAAGGAAATTCGTCTGGAAGACTTACTTAATTAAACGCATAAGTTTAGTAGATATTCCTCAGAGTGACAGCATAGAAAATTCATTTTTCTGACATGTCAATGTGGAATTACAAGGTAAACTGAAATGTTTTCTCCAAAGCAATAAAGATGCTAAACAACTTCAAATTTTCCCCCACTTTTTGGTCAGACAAACTGTCTTCAGTAATAACTGATGAGTCGAGTTTGTCTTCGTTTACTCCACAGTTCCATTTGAAAACCATATCAATTTGTTTTCATGATATAAGAGCTAATCATTCTCTCCTACAACCAATTTACAAGTCAGATATGAAATCTTAGTCTTTGTCTATAGAACTTGCTGTCGAAACTCTATCTCTTCAAAAGCTTACAATGAAATGGTATTTCATTGAAAAGTATTGAGCGTTTTGTTACTTAAATAACTATGATCTTTACCATTGTGTAATTTACTGAACCCTGAACTTCCGAGGTATTCATCTCCTAACCAGGTAAGTGATTATTCAGTCAGATGAAGAATGGGAAAAATGCAGTCTTTTTACATATATTTCAGAACGCTTTGTAAATGTAAACTGAACACTGTTCATCATCCTCACTCAATCTATTAGCAGAGACAGTGAAAAAACTGTATATCGAACAGCTAAGTTGCATGTATGGGCTACAACAACTCTTGTCGTCTGCTCTCCCATGAGGTATCAGAATGGAGACAAAAGTAGGCAAAGTAACTTAAAATCCATGTTGATTTGCTTCTTATTACGCTACAAATTGTCAAAAATTTAAAAATTTCTACTTGTTATCTGTCTTTGCGTACTGTTGTCTCCTTGTTAACGCTTAATAACTTACTGCTATTTTGGATTTCATCCTCATGGGATGGCTGCGATACGTGTGTGTGTGGGAGGGGGGAGGGGGGTTGGCAATGTCAACCAATCCCTCTCCAATGAATACGATTCCTGGAAAAAAAGGGATGTTAGCTAATAGCAGATACATTAATGACTACAACAGTCTATTCATAATACATATTTCACAAAATGACTACAAGACAAGTCAATAAGAATACAAAAGTCGGTAACATACAGAAAGAAGGGATTCTGTTAAAACCCATTCCAATTCACGTTTAAGTAGTTGGATATTTGGTCGCGGATAAATATGAACGCTAATCTTGAAAAATGAGGAGAAAAAACGACATATAAGCTTAGGGTGGTACAGAAATGAAAATAAGATATGGGGAAATACTGGAACTGTAGTTAAGTAAGTCACTTACAATAGCCGTAGTCGGTAGGCCAGCTGTAAAATTCACGTACGGTAGTTGAAGTCGATAAGGATACTGAGTCACCACAGGGTTCCAACCAACAACTTCAAGATTACTTACCTACAGCTCTTGTAGCCAAACTACTAGTTCTAATTATTAACGGAATCTCAGTTGTTTTTTTAACTATGTAATGGTTTTCGATCAACTATCATATGAATAAAGGATATATATAGGTGATATTATTGTAACATACGATGGATGTGATTTAAATTTCATCGATGCCATCATGAGTAATTGATAACCACCCAAAGAACTGAATGAAGAAAGGAAAAAACATCATAGTAAGCAAATCAATTACCTGGTTTATGGTTGTGATATTTTTCCTATCTACTTTAATACTTTTCTTATAGTTTGAAAATGAATGTTACCGGACAATTATTGATTGTTTCGCTTTTTTATTCTTCTCCGTTAGAAGGGTATGCTCTTCTTAAAAGACTGTAGGCAACAGGGATCTTTGCAAGGAGTGTGACAAATCAGCATCTAGATGTTTGTTCGAGCGTATTGCTTTTTTCGGGGAAACGGTCAAACCTGAATGTCCACTTTCTTTTCACTAGACTAGATACACTCAATGAAGAGGGGTTAACGTTATCTGTTTCTTTTCTGAGTTGAACTTGTTACTGAGGAATCCTGTGTCTAACTGATCTAGGAAAACGTGACATACGCCATCTTTTAACACTACGGACGTATAACCAACAAACAACATGGAAACTTTCGGCTTTAGTAGGTGTGCGATGACACTTCAAATTCAGTCACAGATAAGTTGGCTACTATGAGTGAAACAGGTGAACTCATAGATACGCCATCGGTTTGCTTTTATAGCTTGGTTTTAACCCACCCAAACACACTGACGTAACCACTACACATGCAACTAGACCTACAAACACATGTGTAGATACAATTTCCAATCTATAGTTCACGCACTCATTACGTGTAGCACACTACACATGATCATAATCTTTCTCAACAATTTGACAACGCAGAACCAACCATTCGAAACAACCCAAGTCAAGTTGTCAAACATAAGCTTGGATATTGTAAATTTTTGTTTGCGGTAACTTTGACTAAGCTATAAGCGCTAAATAGCGAAACGCCAGTTAAAAAGAAAAACTTTGTTTTGTTGCAGATTCATTGGGAAATACAGATTTAAGAAAATAAAGAATGTTAGTCACCGACCAGAAGAAACCGTTAACATCTCTGGTTACAGCAGTAAAAGACTCATATTGAATTCATTTTGATAGGATGTATGTATACCATCGATATTTTACGCATATCCTGCTTGATGGATGCCAAAATGAACGGAGCCTAGCTTAATGACTTTTTATACAGTGACATAGAATATTTAAACCACAGACTAATGAATAAAACACTTTAAAAGAATGTATTTAAATAAAATCCCCGGATATTGAGAAATTTGGAATTTTTCACGGTGTAGGCGGAATATTCTTCTAATGCAGGTGTGACTTACATGATGAAATGTAGAGTAAAACTTTGTCTTCATTTCGTATTCACACTGGGGTTTTATCAATGTGTATAAAGGTATTCCACGAAGTAATTGTCTACTAACGCCTGGTTAGGTGTACTATTATCACAAATAGCCATATTACATTTAGATGACCAGACAAGGAAATACTTGAATAGTCATTCCATTGCGGTAGAATAACACAAATCACTATGTACTTGTAATGCACAACTTAGGTAATTCGATTAAGATCAGTAGCGGTAATTCTTCGTTTCCCCTTAGCTGCAGGACTTCAGCAAGATGTTACTGCATCTCACTCAATACAGTGTTCCTACAATACATTGAACACATGACATCAAATAAATTAAGATAATATACTTGAGTACAGACTTAACATCAGCAACTCTTCCATTTGCAATGTCCCAAAGGCTTTTATTTCTAATAAAATGAAAGCTAGTAATCATGTGATTGTAAGTAAAAAATGTTGAATACTGATAATATAATATAATGAATCCATTGAAGTTACTCACTTCATCAAAAACAGTTGAAAATATTTCTAATAACTTTGAGTGAACAATTTGATTGAAACAATCCAGAATGTCCAATTTAGCAATCCAAAATCTATGGGAACAATTGTCAGTGAAATAGAAACACTGAAAGTGTGTTACAGAATTGCTGTAAGAATTACCACTAGTCGATTAGATCAAGAAAAAGTGTCCAATGTATTGTATTCATCTCGGTAACTAGCAGTGGAATTCCATGTATGTTATATTATAAAGTATATAAATGTATGCATATAAAATAGTGTAGTTACACACAGACGACATTTCACACGCAACAACAAGAAACACAGCATGTTTGTGTAAACATTTCTACACCGATGTGAGAATAACTCGACTATTTTATTAAAAATAAATGCAGCTCTAAGAGATCATGCGTAATTTCGTGCACCAGGCTATGATGTACAACTACTGTGTAACAGTTGTGGCACTACATATGGGTTGACAAAACTTCGTAAAATCCATTTTGTAGTTGATTCGTTCTTGGATCTAGTTATGGAGTCTATTGATGATGTATCGAACTGTAAGTAGAATATAATAATAATAATAATTTGTCCGTTGGGTTCTTAGTGGGATATAGAGCTTCAGTAGCACGCCTCCATCACACACTCTTCTCTCCACCACCACTGCCCACAGGCTTTCATCTTTTCCTCACATGATCTCCTTCATGTCACCCTCACCTGGGACGCCCAACTCATCGTTTTCCCCTCAAATTCCACTCTAAAGCCTGGCACGTGATGTCCCAAATCGGCCTACTCAGTGTATGACAAATCCAATCCACCTCCACTTCCTTCTGCATATCTGTTGGATGATGGGCTCTTGATTGATTAATTGCCCGGCCAGAGTTCCTTGTTGCTTATTCTTATTATTCTGACCATCTGATCTTCAGTATCGAGTGAGCGTAGGCGGCAGCTGTTGATGAATGTCTGTAGGTTGTTGGAAATGCTTTTCGTGACACGCTATGTTTCTGAACCATCACATGTAAGAACAGACTTGACTGAATTGGTGTTGAAAATCCGGATCTCGTTCTTTGTGCTGAGTGCAGTAAATCTCCACACTGATTTCAGACTAGTGAAAGCCTGTCTTGCTTTTCAATAAATGAGTTGAAAGTAAGCCATACATATAAAAAATATTTTATGCAAGCATTATTTTTCTTTGTTTTTTCCGCATAGTTATTAACCCTGCGACTAAATAAGAATTTTCCGATGGGAAAATAGATTCAGCACAATTTAAAACCATCCACCAGCTATTTCGCTTAGTGATAACTCAATGAAGCAGAATGAAGCTAGAGAAAAAACTAAGAATAGCTGGAGAAGGGCATGAAATCACTCTGCACAGTTTATGGATATCAGGAGACAAAAAGACAATTGTACTCAATCCGACTAACGTCCGCAAGATACCAAGAATCAGTGGCTGCAGAATCCCAATGGTACACACTTCTCCTTTCATTATCTTTGACTTTCTGAACGTCTTATTAACCTCCACCTTTATATTCTCCTTTCTTAAGGTAGTAGCTTCGAAATCAAAGTAACTCAGTGAACTTAGCAGTAAACTCCAGCTAGTGTATGAGTGATTATGATACAAATCGGTTACACACTCCGAGATACTAAAAGTAAATTCAAATCTTAATATAGGTGTAAAACTTGGCCACCGTGGTAGAATTTAATTCCACATTAGATTTGTTTATCTAATTTATAAAACAGTGATATAGCATTATTTGATTGATGACGTTTCAACCATAAATTACTATTGCTCATAATCATGTGATCAGTGTAATCACACTACTTTCGACATCTGATTTTTATAGTCCTGTCAACTCTTGTTCTCTGTTCATATTGGTAGTAAAATTTTCCATATCTCTGGAATAGGTGTTGTGTCATTCTTATTACATATATTGGGTGCTGATTCGTTGAACAAAGACTCAGTAATCAATCTCTCTCTCTCTCTCTCTCTCTCTCTCTCTCTCTCTCTCCCTTCCTAATTATATTGGACATAAGTAGAGTGGCTTTGTCCCACTATATTGTGTGGTTGTGTGTTAATGCATGCAATAGCCCAGTTTTTTACTAGATTATTGATCTTATTCGGGTCTATCATTCTATATTTAGCTAAATTCCTATGTTCAGCTATTCTAACTGATCCCGACCGTCTAGTTTGACCGACGTACTTGACCTTACAGTCATTAGATTGAATTTGATAGATTAGATTATTTTGCTTAATTGGTTCTAGTGGATCCTTAAGCCAGCTGACAAAGTTTATCCCTGAACAAGGAGAGTTGCCTATATTGGATTGCAGGATAAAACGAAGGATAGACAGTGGTTTGGATACTACCGTCTACAGAAATCCGACATATTCCAACAGGTATCTAGACTTCGAATCATCCCATCCAATGTCAATCAAGGTAGGCTTAGTCAAATGTCTAAGTGATAGAGCTAGAAAACTGACTAGTCAGTGCGAGGACCTAGACAAGAAACTGAAACACGTGAAAGAAGCGCCAATAGTTAATAAGTACCCTCCACATTGTATCAAGAAATCCCTACGATCATACAAGAAACGAAAAGATATTAGTAACACGAATACGAATAAAAACGACAACACGAGTAGGAAAGAGTTCACAGCCTCCATTGTGTTACCCTATAAGGAAGGTACATCAGAAACTTTACGTAGGATCCTCAACAAAGCTGGAATCAGGGTGGTATTTAAACCTACAAACTCACTAAGATAAGCTTCGTCGGTTGGCTTAAGGATCCACTAGAACCAATTAAGCAAAATAATCTAATCTATCAAATTCAATCTAATGACTGTAAGGTCAAGTACGTCGGTCAAACTAGACGGTCGGATCAGTTAGAATAGCTGAACATAGGAATTTAGCTAAATATAGAATGATAGACCCGAATAAGATCAATAATCTAGTAAAAAACTGGGCTATTGCATGCATTAACACAACCACACAATATAGTGGGACAAATCCACTCTACTTATGTCCAATATAATTAGGAAGGGAGAGAGAGAGAGAGAGAGAGAGAGAGAGAGAGATTGATTACTGAGTCTTTGTTCAACGAATCAGCACCCAATATATGTAATAAGAATGACACAACACCTATTCCAGAGATATGGAAAATTTTACTACCATATGAACAGAGAACAAGAGTTGACAGGACTATAAAAATCAGATGTCGAAAGTAGTGTGATTACACTGATCACATGATTATGAGCAATAGTAATTTATGGTTGAAACGTCATCAATCAAATAATGCTATATCACTGTTTTATAAATTAGATTTAAAAAAATCTAGTACGGAATTAATGCAAAACCTATTATCAAGTGACAGGTAGCTAAGTGTGAATGAGTATGAATTCTAACAAAATGAACCTGTGAGTTTTGTGAAAGGTTGAGCATTGTCCGATTTTATTGTTTGACTGTTTTGAAAATAAGAAATAATGCTTTTCTTTAAATGTAAGGTAATCAAATATTTCATCTTGTGATGATCTGAAACTGATCAGTTGTTTCGTCAAATTCTAACCTTAGAAAAAGTCACATTTCTTTTAGACAGAAAAACAGTACTGAACCAGACTTTCTGCTTTTTATCCATGAATTTCTCAGCAACCAAATTGGTGTCCCTACGTAATAGTGTTCACTACAACAATCAGAAGTCGGTAGGTTTCAGGCTCATATAACCTCAAATTGTATTTACCAATTCACGTCCACAAGTCAGAGTGCATACATTACAAGTATAGCGAAGAGGATTGAGACTCAATTTGATGAACATATTCTATTCAAAGGAGTCAAATTACCTCCGAAGTTCTATTACTAAACATCTGATAGATACAGAATACGACATCAAAAACAATGATAATTTACTAGGATTAGCTAAAGCAATTGCTATTGGAATCATTAAACGGAATTTGCGTATCCAAAGAGAGGCAGTTGTTAACCTCGAGTTTCTAAGGTAGTCATTGATTCGTTTTGTTATTTAGTATAAGTCCTCCGAAAATTTTATTCATACTTTTGTATTTTCATTATCTTTTACCACCAAGTTCACAAGAAATTCTCACTTCATCTCCACAATTTTACTGTCAGACCCAGACGAATTTGACCTTAATCCGTGCAAAATTTTTAGTCTTATGTTTATATTATTAACTTTTCACCTCCACTTTTATATTTTATATCTTTTATATTTCAGTTTCTGATTGGTCACATGTAACGAAATGATAATCTGAATATATAAGCAAGGGATCACTTTTATTGCAGAAGTAACAAATTACTTCGGTTAAACTTCAGTAATCTAGATCAATCCTTTCGTCAACTTTCATCAATGGGCTGTTGTCCTCTTGATAATTAGAGTAAGTATATTGCATTACTCTACATGTATCTTATGATTTTATCGTCTGGACTCAGTTGAAAAGAACGCGAACAAATACAATGAGTTAATCGTATTCTGCTCAATTTTCAGTTAGAGCTCAGCAAAAATATGATGAAACTCGTTGAACAAGATGCCGCTTTACCAACTCAGTAAATTAATAAGTAACTTTCTGGAGTCTGAAATAATGGACGCTTAGTTCGAGTCCCAATAGGGACAGTAACGTATCATCATGATCATTATTCATTTCTATTCAGACCAGATAATAAAACAAAAGCCATCTTAAATAATCTAGTCAACAATATAGTTTTCAGCTTAAAATGATGTCCACTTTTGGTTGTACGAAACTTTGATTGTATGAAGAAAGAATGTATTTGTTGCCTGGTTTGTATTCTTACCGACGAAATCCTACTGAATAAGTTAGTGAACGAAAAGCCAATAAAGCAGTGAAGGCTGATTTAGTTGATTGTAAAGACGGTTCGTAAACAGACGGAAACTGAAATAAACAGAAAAAGATAAACATATGTGGAACTTCAAAACCCTGCAAAGATTTCATAATAACTACATCGTTAAACAATAGCAAGTGTCGATACAAATGATTCAACTGAGAGTTACGGAAAAAAAACTGAAATTGATGGTCGATCACTACTCAAGCAATAGGTAGGCAGGCAAAATTAACGTAGTTCCATTTTAGTCTGTTTATTAGAAATATCACACAGTGAAACAGTAGCATTTACTGGATAACGTTTCGGACACAATTTATTGTCCATATTCATATCAGGTAACTCCACAACTTCGAGACAGTCTTCAGATATTCCTAGTTTTCTCTCCTTCTCTATGATGACAAGGGTAGTAGAATTTTCCATATATCTGGGACAGGTGCAGCATCATTTTGATTGCATGTATTTGGTGTGGATTCGATAAACAAATATTCGGTTATCAATCTCTCCCTCCACCCAAGTTAGTATTCAACACTGTCACCCTATCCCACCCTACTGTGTGATTGTGTGTCATCGCATGCAGAGCTATAGTCGAGTTTTTCTCTAGATTTCTTATCTTATTAGGATCTACTGATCTTGATTTAGCTAAGTTTTTGTGCTCTGTTATTCTAATCGACCCTGGTCGACTGCTTTGACCTATGTACTTGACCTCGCAACCATTGCAAGGAATCTGGTAAACCAGATTATTTTGCTCAATTGCATCGATACGATCTTGTAACCTACAAAACTTGTTTCTAAGTGAGTTTGTTGGTTTGAATGCCACTTTAATCCCAGCCTTATTGAGAATTCTTCGTAGTGCTTCTCAGGTGCCTTCCTTGTATGGTAACGCAGCAGAGGATTTGAATTCTCTCTTAACTCTGCAGCCATTATTACCACTAGTAGTGGGATTATTATTAATAACATCTGTATTATTATTATTATTATTATTACTACCACTGCCAATATTTTTCTTTCGATTTCTTATGAATTTATTTATAAATTTTGGTGGGTAATTATTGAGACGTAGGGTATTCTTGGTGTGTCTAATTTCTTGTCGCAGATTTTCCGATCTGCTAGTAAGCTTTTTCGCTCTATCACCTAAGCATTTAACTAGGCCTACTTTAACTAAAATGGGGTGGAAGGATTCGAAGTCTAAGTAGCGACTCGAATGGTAGGTTTCTTATAGACACTAGTCTCTAGATTAATGTAGAACCTCACACACAAGTTCATCAGTTCAAGTTGCCATACTTCACAGTAGTATTCAAGAAACAAGTGGATAAAAAACGGCTGATATCAAAGTACACCAAGATAAAAGAGAGAAGGAATCTAAAAATTAGGGTTAGTCAAAACATCCAAGCTTTAGATGAAGTCAAAGCGTGAATGTATCTGCGACATTGTGACCGACTTTCAGCTATATCACCGAAAGTTCTCAATCACTAGTTCCTATCGTCTTGAGGACCTTAGTCAGACAGTTTATGCTTCCCCACACGCTTCAGACCAACAATTAAACACTTCACGCACTGGTGCCACATACTGGTCTGACCACACCAAGTCTTCTTCCAAAATATTCCAGCTTCTTCTCGAATTTCATGTCAAGGTAGACGGTGGCGATGTAAGAGACACGGATAATAACTGAAATTAAATGGCAGTTCAATTTACGTCAGCGGTCACTAAAGTACGGAATGAATTGTCTAATCTACTGGCTACAATACAGAAACAACCAGATTTCAGTTAATATTCACTAACTGAGCACAATACTTAATTGTTAATTGGCAGTTTATTCAGTGAAAAATCATGATGAGTATGCCATTCAAAATTAAGGGAAAAAAACAGATAACTCATGGTACTTGGCTTTTGATAGGTCTCAATTCTTTTGATTGACATTATTAGAAATGATATGATCAAGCAGTTGCAAATATTATATCTGACTCAACCAGTGAAGTTAATTCATGAACTGAAAAAAATTATTTATACTGGTCAAGGAAAATATAGCTCATAGACAATGAAGTCCAGTTAAGCTAACATATCGCCGAAACAAAAAAGACAATCATCCGTAGCTTTGGTATTCGATTAAAAATTGTTACCAGAAGAAATACAAAAAGGGGTCTGCATTAGCTTGACCAGAAGAAGTCAGAAAACAACCTGAGAAATAGTAGAGAATATTTGTAGCTCAGGTGGATGGTCTTGGTTGCATTGTGTTCTCTGAGATGGGTTGTTTAATCGTGAAGCTTTCATCATCTTTCTAGACGGCGTCATCATCACTAACTTCAGTATGAAGTGAGCTGTCAATATCTCTCCGTGAGTGATTTAGTAGCTTGTCTTGACGAAGAGGTCTGTAACTGGTTATTTCCTTTGATTGTTGTGTCATTGACTGTATAGATTTTCCTGTTAGCTGTTCCTCGGCTTCACCTCTGACCTTTCTGTCGTTTATCATTTTGCTCATTGGTTGATTGATTGATTGATTGGGTCTATGTCTATACATCTGTTGATTGCTGACTGACCTGAATGCCAAGCTTCTAGGAATTCTCTGATATTTCTTGTGTTTCCTCTGTCCAAAATTTCTACATTGTCGAGATTGAATTCATCTTCATAATTATTCACGTGGATTGAAGTGAGTGATGAAATGTCATGACGTTTACTAGCGAATTGGTGTTCATGTAGACGAAGGTGAAGAGGGAGGTCACTTTGTCCAATGTAGTGTTGAGTACGGTTATTGCAGTTGGTTTTGTAAATGACATTTGGTTTGTCGTCTTTAGTTGTTGAATTCTTTGGTCTGTATAATAGTGTTTTGAGGGAATTTGTTGGTATATGAGCCACACCAATTCCAAGTGGTTTCAGCAATCTTGTCGTGATTTCTGATATATTGTTTCTGTATGGTTGAATGATGCGTTTATTGATTTCTGTCGACGACTTTGTAGTTGATGATGCACGGGATAGGTATCTTCTGATAAAGTTTCGTGAGTAGCCGTTCTTCTTTAGGGTGGACATCGAGTAATTTTCTTCGTTTCTCCGTGAAGTTGTTGTACTGCAGTGTGTTCTCGCTCTTTTGAATAAAGTCTGCATGTAACTGATCTTGTGCGTTGTTGGGTTGTTGCTACTGTAGTTGAGGATTTGGTCAGTGTGTGTTGGCTTCGTGTACACTTGAGTTTCCAGCTTTACGGCATTTGTTCTACTGACTAGAACACCCAGAAATGGTAGTTGGTTGTTTGACTCTTTTTCCACTGATAATTTGATGTCACTGAAAACGTTGATCAGACTGTGGGTGCTTTGTATATCATCTAATGATGATAAACGTGAATGTGTCAACTTGAAGGAATAACAATAAATTGCTATCACCATGATTATCTCCAAAGATCAATATGTTCACAGAAAACGTTTTGCTCATTAGAAACATACGGAGTTTCAGGATGATATTCATCATTGATTGACATCAGATGGTGCACCATTGGAAACCTGGGAGCACTAGATAGCCTTTTCGTCCAAGTATAGGATTGTATTGCTTGGCCGCGGAACTCGATGGTCCTGAGTTCGATCCCTGGCGAGATCATAGGTGCCCACTGCAGAGGAGTCCCATACTAGGACAAAACAGCAGTCCAGTGCTCTAAGGTTCCCAAGGTTTCTCCGACTGATATCAGTCCATGTTAATCGCCAACCTGAAATAAATAAATAAATTCCGCGAACCTCCAAATCGAATTTACGGAGTTTTTAACATGTGGTGAAAACAGTTTTAAGCATTCAAAACCTCTAGTGTACTGTGAAGAAATATTTAGGGGACAAAATGAAACTAGACTACTTTTATTTGTGAAGATCTATTTAATCATAAACTTAGGTTGTAGTTGTTTGATACTTGTGATTTCCCGTTCAAACACAAGGTCGAATTGTTCGACTGTTGTTGGCAGATGGGCTCGTGTGAAGATGCTAGATATTCATGTTGTATCCATCTTGGTGACTCACATTTGAATCTAAGATGCGGGTTTCGTCCTAGTTGGGACGTAATCATCAGCTTGATGTACCTGCACTCCAGTAAGTGATGTTGTTCCCACTAAGACTAGAAACCAGTACCCATCGTTCCAAATGCTGGGGAGTTTCAAATAGGATGAAACGTGCATCCTGAATTCCGCTGGTAGTCACCAAGATGAATACAACTTACGTTGTATTTTAGACCTTTGCCACTGAATACTTGACGAAGTGTTGGTGTTGTAGATATTCTGGGACAATAATCGAAAAGAAGATACGGTTGTATGTTCATCTTCCTTGGTTGTTGTCTGCAAATGAATGCAATAAGAGCCCATAAGACGCTAACTTTGATAGCCTACCAAAATTTTTGACAAAAGCTTTACAATGAATACCTTAAAACCAGACAAACTGCTTAACTTTAGAAATGGATTTCAAAATGACAAATATTTAATCGACAATAAATAAGATGACTTACCTCAACTCTCATACGTTTGAATACATCAAACAAACCATTTTGTAGTTTTAAACGTTGATTAAGACTAAGAAGATTTGTAGGTGGATGAAAATTATTTGAATTCACTGTTCCATGGTTTACGATTGTATTTGATAATGATAATAAATGAGAATTGGCGTTTTATAACTAGACGAAACATTTTGCCTGAAGGTTTCATAGATAAACGTCCAATACTTTGTGTTAACAGATATGCCTTTCCGTAATTTCATTAAGATGACTGCATGATATCGTTACGATAGAATTGTTTCTTGCTTGAATTACCCCATTTTCAATTAAATCTATGTGAAAGATAAATATTTCACCAGTCTATAATTCGTTAAATAAATAAAAGATGGTAGAACCGGGGAATTAAAAAATGTGCAGTCCCACTTATACCCACCCAGGTGATACAGTTTATAAATTAGCATGAAAGACCCCTAAACATCATCAGAAACAAGCAAGCAAACAAACAAACAGGTATGAAGCAGTTCAGAATAAGACTGATTAACTATCCAAACTACCAAAAACGGATCAGTATATAGAGGTATATAGAAAAAGGAAGAATGAAAAAACAGAAAATAAAAACTAGTGTTAACTATCACCTAAAAACTCCATCCAACTCAACGAAAAACCGCAAGATTCCCTACACGGATGAAACCAAAAAATACAAACTAAATGGATTGATTCCAAAAAAAAGCTACATGTATCCTATTGACTACTGAACTCACTTACCTTTTAGCATGATTATCAGAAGAAAAATCAAAGCAGAACCCAAAACAGAAGTACATCAGTCTCAGTTACAAGTCACAGCAGAATGTAAACAAAAGGTGGGCAAGAAAGGAGTGATATTAGGATAGACAAAAGTGTGAGCGGGAAGAGAGAGAAAATCAATGAATGGTAGTGAAAATACACAAGATTCTAAAAATGTCCATGAGTGAACACATTTGCACCACTGTGAGAGATTTTTAAAGATGCAACGAAGAGTCTCAAGCCACCGATTTATACCAACTCGATGATCCCAGGCTAGCAGTCTTCGATTGCCTATATCAATCAAACCAACAGCCAGGAACTTCAAAGACTGGTGTCACGTATTGGTCTGGTCAACCTCAGCCTCCTTCCAACCCAACCAACTTTAGGCAATATGGCATTTCGATGCAGACTGTAGGTAAGCATTAACAAGGCAACTTAGTCAGTGAAGGTTTAGAAGTTGGCAAATTGTCTAATACCCTTCATCGAACCTCGATCTTGCTCGCACGGCGATTTCATCGTACGTAGGCAATGCTACGAAACACTTTGTTCAAAAGCCTGCTATCTTTTCATAACTTTTCTTTCCAGCGACTTTGACTCAGCCGTGTAACAGAACGGAACGAACTACAGCGCAGTATACTCGTACTTTAATAAGTCGTCGGATATGATGCAAGTTAGAAAATGCCAATCAGGTCTTATGTATCCTAGCTCAGATTTCATCAGCGACTAATCCACCTAAGCTGATGCAGTTCCCCAAGTGAGTGCAGTGGTCAACGCATTGTATCACTTCACTCCCTGTCCCTAAACTGAAATTTGGTGCACGGCAGTCTTAAAGCATCATTCTACACTTGATTATTTGTCCCTTGGGTTCCTAATGGAACATAGGGCTTCAGTAGCACGTCTCCAGTGAACTCTGTTCTCCGAAATCTTTTGGACCTGCCTCCACGACAGCCCACAAGCTCTCATTTCCTCCTCTCACGATCTCCTCCATGTCACTCACCTAGGAAGCCCAACTCGTCGTTTCCCATGGGGATTCCACTCGAGGGCCTGACGCGTACTGTCCCCAGTCGGCTTTCTCAGTGTATAACCAATCAATCTCCACTTCCTTCTTCCGCATATTTCTTGAGCGACAGGTTCTTGGTTGGTTCGTTCCCATAGCTCCTTGTTGCTTATTCTTTCTGGCCATCTGAGCTTCAGTGACGAGCCAGCGTAGACAGTTGTTGATTAATGTCTGTAGTTTATTGGAAGTCCCTTTCGTAACACGCCAAGTCTCTGAAACATATAGAAGCACTGACTTGATGTTGGTATTGAAAATCCGGATCTTGTTCCACATGCTGAGTGCAAAAGATCTCCACACTGGTTTCAGGCTAATGAAGGCCTGTCTTGCTTTTCCGATCCTGGCTGGCTTTGACATCCTCATCTGTGCCTGTGCTGCCTGTAGGTGAAACAGTGCTGCCTAGATAGGTGAAGGAGGTTACTTCCTTCAGGTTTCTCCCATTGATGGTGATTGGAGCTTGCCGTTGTTATTGGTGACGTTGGTTGGGTATCTTCATCACCAGTGTCTTCTCTACATTCACTTGAAGTCCCGTCTTCCCTGCCCTGCCTGCCTCTTCTGTCAACTTGTTAGTTTTCGCCTGTAGGTCTTCAGGTTTGTGTGACATCAGGCACAAGTCATCGGCGAAATCCAAGTCTTCTAGGTTCTTTTCTGCAGTCCAGCCAGCGTATTCCCCTCTTCTCGTTCCTCACTGTTTGCTGCATGATCCAGTCCACCACAATCAGGAATATAATGGGGGATAGTAGGCAACCTTGTTTCACTCCTATCTTCACTTCAAAAGCATCACTGAGCTTCCCATTGTAAATTACTTGGCATGTGGCATCTTCATATAGTTGTTGAATGAGGCTGATAAAGGTTTGCAGTATTCTGTAGTATTGAAGCAGTTTCCAAATTACTTCTCGGTCGACACTGTCAAAGGCCTTCTCAAAGTCGATGAAGTTGAGGTAGAGGGTTGACTGTCATTCTATGCTCTGTTCTATGATGATGCGAAGCGTTGCAATTTGGTCCGTGCATGATTTGTGCTTCCTGAAGCCAGCCAGCCTGTTCCGGTCGTAGTTTTGAATCTAGTGCATCCTTTAGCCTCTCCAGGATGATGCGGCTTAAGATTTTGCTTGCTCTGGGTGGACAGGAGAGTGATTCCGCACCAGTTCTTGCAAACACTGAGGTCTCCCTTCTTCGGCAGTTTGACGAGGTAACCCTTCTTCCACTCACTAGCCAGGTACCTTCTCTTCCTTCCACACCTTCTGCAATAGTGGTGTGAGCATGTTCGCTGTTGTCTCTGCGTCTGTTCTCAGTGCTTCTGGTGGGATTCCATTTGCTTCTGCTGCTATCCTGCATTTCAGCAGCTTTATGGAGTTCACGACTTCCACTTTTGTTGGAGGATTTATGTTCACTTGTAGTTCAGTGGCTGCAGGTGGTATTTCTGGACGAAGTGCAGGTGGTGGTCGATTCAAGAGCTTCTTGAAGTGTTCGGCCCATTGTTTCCTTTGTTTCTCTTCTTTCGTAATTAGATTTCCGTCATCATCTCTTATTGGCTTCGTCTGCGTTGATTTCTTCCCAGATAGCAATCTGGTTATTTGATACAATGTTGTCAGGTCTCTCTTACCTGCAGCCTGTTCTGCTTCACTTGCCAGTGTTTTGTAGAAGTGTCTTTTGTCTTTGCGAGTACTCTGCTTCACTTCTTTGTCCAGTGTTTTGTACATTGTACCCAGTTCCTCTTGTCGTTGAGCATTCTTGCACTGGTTTATATTCTGTTTCACCATCCTCCTCTCCCTTCTCTATCAGCTTCCATGTATCCATTGAGATCCATTCCTTGTCTTCTTTTTTCTGCCTTCCTAATACGGTTGTGCAGGTTTCTTTCCACATAACTTTCAAAGACTTCCAGTGTTCTTCCATACAGGTTTCTTCAGGGATGTTGCTCAACATCTCCCATTTTGTCTTGATGGCTGCATTGAAGATCTCCTTTGTAATTTCATCCTTCAGTTTCCGAGTGTTGTACTTGAATTGAGGTCTATCACCAGCTTCCTTGAAGGCTTTTAACTTGATTTGGAAGGTTCCCTGCACTAGATAGTGAGTGGTCTGAACCTACATCTGCTCCTCTTCTTGACCTTGTGTTAAGTAGACTGCGTCTCCATTTTCTTGAGATTAAGATAAAGTCGATTTGATTTTTAGTGTGTCCTGGCATCTGGTGAAATCCATGTCGCTTTGTGGATATCTTTGTGCTTGAACATACTGCCTCCAATCACCAAATCGTTCATCACCTCACCGAGATCTTCTCGACCCATGGTTAGTTCTCTTCCTGTGTTGTCCCCTCCCAGTTTGGCATTCATGTCGCCCATTAGAATTTTGATATCGCCAACTGGTGTCTTGTCCAGTGTTGATTGAAGTTGTCTGTAGAATTCCTCCTTTTTCTCTTCATCTGCATTATTTGTAGGGGCATAGCATTGTATGATTGTGACCTTCCTTCCTTTTGAGTTGAACCTTGCTGTCATGATGCTGATCCTGGAGGAGGAGATTGGTTCCCACTGCATGAGAGAGAACCTTCGATGCTCTGGGGACATCATGATAGCCACTCCATAACTCAGTGTGCTCGTGGCTGTCGTCTGGGTGACCGGAGTAGATTATTGATTCTCCAGTTGACAGTTTGGAGAGTCCACTCCATTCCATCTGCTTTCGCAAATTCCAAGCACTTCAATGTTATACCTTCTCATATCTTTTGCAATCTGGGCAGTGCTGACGTAGTAGCCAACAATAACTCATTTCTTTGTTGTTACTATGTACGATTGTACAGATACTCAAAATGATTCGTTGACAAGGCAATTTTCATCTCTGAATTACTCAGTGTTTTCCAATGTCTTAAAAGGATTCCTTTCTAACTCAGAAGTCATTGTCAATAAGAATGTAAACGGCAAAAAAGTTGCCAAATAATACTTTGTAGGTCATTCTTGCAGATCTCCGAAATTCAACAGCGAAATCGAGATGATCGAAGCATTGGATAGTCGTTTCGACCGCTAGAAACCACGCACGTCTGAATTTTATTATCAATAAACTCAACTCAAAAAGCCAAACAAATAAGCGTTACCGATACTAAAAGAAACTTATCCATGACCTGATGTTTTGTAGTTTACCTCACTTCAACATTTTGAAATCTCTTTTTTCGAGTATTCTAAACACGATAGCCTATACCAATTCTGATATATATATATATATATATATATATATATATATATATATATATATATATATATATATATATATATATATATATATATATATAGTAATAACTTTACGGGTTTTGGTTGAAACGGCTACCCATTAAATACCCTGACCCAATATTCTGCGTTAGCTACGACTGTTTCACAGTAGAACCAGTCAGTTTCTCAGTGTCTTGTTGAGGTACATTGAGAGAGATAACTTGAACAGATGCAACTACTCGAGGAAATGGTTTCTGGAAGATAAAAAACATTAGAAAACTATCACCTGTTTTCGCTGGAACTTCTTAAATATACATTTCAAATATTAGGAATATATTGGTATTTTCATGGAAGCGATGAACGTTAATTTGAATGCATTACAAATGAAAAATGAGATGACAAATACTAGGACGTTATCAGTTGGTCATTATAATTTTCTTATAACAAATTATTAGTACCAGGAAGTCGTGATTTGAGGAGCTAATCAAATAGAAGATGAGCACAAAAGCTCACTAATGGTATTAAATGATGGTTGTACTACATCTCAAACTGAAAGAAGTGAAACATGTGGAAGATTGAATTTCATTCCACTGGGTGAATGACCAGATACACGCCAATAAACCGGACGGTTAAAGATTCACCTCCTTATAGAGTTGTCTGTGGGCACTGCTTAAGGGTTTAAAACTAAGATGAAATAGCTGTCCACTGCTTCAGATATTTAGTAGTTTTCCAACGGGTTTAAATTTATGATTAAAACTACCTCATTACGTTCTGGCGTAGAATATAAGAGTTACCTCTTTACAAAACTACAACTCTTGCCCATTAAAACAAATGAGTTTGCACTGATAACTCAAATTCTTAAGTTTCTAATTTCAAAAAGTTTAGTATTTAGGCATCTACTCAATATAGGTCATGTAGCTCTGCTGGAATCACTGTTCTAAATCTATCTATGAGGTTCGATCAAAGGATTCAAAAGCAGAATGTTCCATAACGTATGCTCGGGAGAAGCTGTAGCTGATTGGTTAGGGAGTTGATTTCTAACCGACCGGTCACGGGTCCAACTACTAAGGTCTTGGGAGCCTAGTAGTTTCATTTGCCCTCACACAATGAATATGGCTCATTGTCTACTGCAGGAATGTACACAAGGTTGTTGAGAACATTTCGTTTCGCTCTGAAGAAGTGCTGGCAGTCCATTAATTGATGCCTGATTTCTGTGTGCAGAAGAAGAATATTAGGTCTCTTTTTTCATGATATTATTGTGTCATTAAATAGCTTTCTTCTGACTTTACAAACAATTTCTCATTTCAATTTTGAACATTATAGCATTCACTTAATCAATTTAAATTCAACTATTTTTTTTTTAGTACCTATAAATGCGGTTGTACGGCTTTAATAAATGGCATTGCGAAATACTAGATTTTCTCTACTGAGATTTTTTTCCCATCTAGATGTCTAATTTAAGGTCAGCAGACGGAAATTTAACACTTGTTGGCATAATGATTAGGGATACTTGTGCCTTCAGTATACAATACTACCAGTTGATACAAATTGTGAACAAAGTGAACAAGAACAGTGAACGCTCTAATCTCATCACCATCAGAATTTTTCCAATCTCACTGCTAATAGAGCTTGAAGAAAAGCATATCAGACCTAAAATGTTAGGGAATGGACTTTAATTGGAATATATCTTTCGACAGTTATGAATAATGCTGTGATGTACTGGAATGATGGCCATTCAGTCAATCAATATCAATGTGGAATTCAACAAGTAGTAACATTGCATTTCAGCAAAGTAAAATGGAAGATGAAAAAAATCGAGGAAAAAAAAGTAGTCAAAAGTGGCAGAAAGTCGTAAGAAGAGAGGGGAAGATGGTAAAACAAATAACGAAATGCGATATGACGGTTAGGAAGAAGATAATGTGTGGATGTATTTGTAACACTGAGATCGATGATGACCATGAGATCAAGTGACTAAAGTGGACAACGAAAAACGAAATAACTTCTTTAACTACTCATAAATGAATTTCAGTAGGGAATACTACTGGAAAAATAGCATATTTTAATATGAATGTAAAAATTGTGTTAATCTTAAAATGATAACTTGAGGAAGTAGTAGAAACCATAGGTCATTGGGAAAACATTTTACTCCACTTATAGACCCATCAAATATCAATAAGTAGAGCAGGCGTTCATACCCAGTCGGTTGGAAACTCCTTGCCTAGACAAATAAGTAACAGCTTTATAATCCCTTCCCCTCTTATAGCAACTTAGTTAACATTACAAAGTATATCAAAACCGTACTAGTACATACCATTTACGAATTGCTTGGTAATCATTTTCCATCTTGCACGTACAAAATAAGCCACTGTAGGTACTGTTGTAGTGAATTCACACCAACTGAAAAACTTCTGAACAATGATATTTATCAGGGAAAATTCAAATTCTACCTTTAGGTGAGAAACAACTACGTGCGTTAATAAAGTGTTTACAAGTGCATAAATATAGGGCCTCCATATTATCTTCTTGTCTTCAGGTATCTAGTATTGAAGATACACATTCAAATAATTAAGGAAATAGAAATCATATCGAAACTAATAATGAAAAAAGTTCAACAGTAAACTACAGTAAAACAAGCAGCTTACTATCACGCCTGCCTAAGGAGATATAATCACTAGTTTGTTTTCACCGAAAATGGCCCTTAACCAAATCAAGACAAGAATATACATTTACATGAATTAACAGACTAGATCAGTTTAGAGTTCATAGTTAGTCGATCATTGTGTACAAACAAATTTCATCTTTATTCACTTACGATTACAGAATGAGATGACTTGGTACTGGGTTCAGAAATGGATTTAAAATTACTAATTACTCTAATATTTTTTAAAATGAAGAAGGGATCAAAGGAACTTTTAACTTTCAATATACCATGAACTATAAATATTCAACTCTCTTAATAATCAATAGAAATAGCTCACAAATTTCTTTAACATGAACTACAGTCATTTTATCTACAGTGTTTGTGTATCAATACGTCGCATTGTTAGATATGACTTTTTCAATATGAAAAGCCATTTATTTTGATGCTAATCAATTGTCAAGTTATTGTATTTCGCCTTCTTTTTCCCTTTTAATCTTCAAAAAACTAACCAATTGTGAATTTAATATGCATACTTCCCTTCAGTTTCTTTTTCTGTACTGAAGATTTTTCGTTATACAGTAGTCATGAATGCAAACATATTTGAATGCTTTTGACGAAGAAAGAAAGTGGAATGGGAAAAAGAAATTGTTATGCAGGGAATTCATCAAAACCCTATATTTGGGGGATTCTTCACAGCTGGAGTGCACTAAAAAGTAACGAAACACCTGTCGACTGTTCTCTAGTTCTCAGTGTTTCTTTAATTCGTGTTATAACCCGATAAAAAGCTTATGATAGTGACAATGATACGAATTAGGATGAAGGTATTTTACGATTGGATTAGAATTGAAATAACAAAAATATATCTGTTAAACATACCTTGAGTGAATGATAGATACAAGATAGCTGAATACCGCAACCATATTGCATGCTAATAAAATGCTTTAAATGTATAAAAGAGTATGATAAGGAAGCGGAAGAAAATGACACTTTAAAAAACCTCATCACTTGACGACACTTAGAATCGAGGACTAATATACTAGTATATAGCATCCTAATTTGAATATTTTATGATTTGTTCACAGTAGTTTTCTACTCATCATATTTACCACTTTGAGTCTGTTTATTTTGTATAGCCATGTTGATTTTACATAAACTATATGTGAAAAGTAGATCTTTTTATCTTTGAGTATAGTAAACTTTTCAACGACACTGACAAAACTGTCAATTACATGTGACTAAGTGTTACAAAGTGTAGTCTCAAATAACTCATAAATGCAGCCTTATCACAGTAACTATACCTTCAAGCAGGCACATACTTTGCTGAATTCTGTAAAATATTATATAATTCGCAATACTTGATACAGTTCTCAGTTCAGGAACAGTTAGTAAATAAAGTGTAACAGAACTGTAGGATATTTCTTTAGTTGATGGTAATTTATCCCAGAGACCATACCTTGTGAAACTGAAAGGATGATTTCCAACGAGGACGTTGCTGATGATACAGTTGAAAAACTTCTGATGTCAACATGGACTGTGCAATCTGCAAACAACTCGCAAACCGATCATCGTGAACCGGTTAATCCATGTCAGTTAGTTAGGTTTAGTTGATTAGAACAATTCGGCTTTATAAACTGAATTCGTCCGAGTACACCAATAACCACCTCAGTCAAGAACGGGCAAAAAGACCATCCACTGTTTAGTTCACTTCCACCTGGCTAGTGAAACCTGAAGATCAGCGTGAATGGTTTCTAACTGTTCATGTTGTTCATTAAGACATTTCATCAGTTAATGGCAATTCGTATCAGAGATCACACCTCGTTTTCACGTAAACACTGTTGAAACCACAGGCAGGCAGTTGAAAAACTACTCAGGTGGAAAAAATGTCAATGTGGATCGCAGAGTTTGTAAATAACTTGCAAATTGATAATCCTATTAAGAAATAATGTGGAGTCATTTTATTTCGCAGTTTTCTTTCATTTGCCTACTGTTCCCCCAACAATATGAAAATTGGATGCAAGTTGGAAAAACAAGCACTGTTATAAAGTTAACAATGAAATTACTGATGGGAATGGATTTAACATCCTAAATCTATATCACTCGTTTATTCTAATCAACAATTTGTTGTCAACTTATGAGAAAGTATGTGTCATTATTGTCAGTCCTACATTTTGATATTAAGTGTTGTAAGTAACTCAAAAGAGTCCACGTAATAATATGATTTCATATTTTTTCAGTTGAACTTGTTATTCTTCATCTGCAATTATCACGGCGAATTGAATTCGTGAATTTGTTAACTGAACATCTAACGTGAGAAAGCAATTGTTCAAGTCTTCTGACAGATATCCAGGATTAACTAAGTCCTACGGGTTATCGAAAATGTCATAATAATCGTGGAGAAACGATGAAATGTAAAAAATGAGGAAGGTTGAAAGTGTCGTTTATATGCTTGAAGAGGTAATCTGAACATCTCAAAATCCAATCACAGAAATCCTTTCTCCCTCTTTATTTTCAACAGTTGTTTTTTTCTGGCATAAAATTATGAAGAGAAGAGTCGTCATGTCTACCTACAAAAAATACTAATGGACAAAGAATCCCTCACAAATAGATTATTTACATTAGAGTAAACAACAAATCAGTGAAGTCTGTTACCCACTTCTAACCGAAATCACAGAGTAAACTCACTTTGAATGACAAAAAGCATGAGTTGCCTAAAGTAACGTATTCAAATACAATTACTGAGACAGGGAAGCTGAAACGTCATTTGGGCGGCCTGAATTAATCAGAAAAGTATCTTGGAGGTATATACAGTGTCATATACTGGCAGGCCGATAACGACGATTGTCGATTACAATTTTTTCCGGACAATCATTTGTTTCTAGTCACCACCGACTTCAAGCACAAGTAGAGAGACTGTCCCACATTGGAGTCCGTCAGCATCAAACCAACGGTTAACGCAGACCAATATCATTATCAATCAACGATGGAAATAATCAGTGAGTTGTAGCTGTTTTTGAATTATCTTCTTGGACTGTGATAATGTGTTAGTACGAGTAGGTGTATGTTTGCACGTTAACGGATGCAGAAGTCTATGTGTGCTCGATAGGAAGATAAGAACGCCAGTTGTGTATCCAAGGAGAGGATAGATAAGCATTTGTCTGAACATGGTAGAAATCCTCCTCCTAAGGAAACTTGACACGATATTCAATCTGCTATACAAACAGCAGTATACAATATTGGCAACCTACAGCCAAAGGTTAGTAAACGCCATCAGATTTCACTGATAGGTCACTGAAGAGTAACCAACTTACTGCTGTCTAGATCTAAATACTGGTGAATTCCAATCAAGTGAAACCAGTGGATTTCCACAAACTTATTAAAACTAACTGACGCAAGAAAACTTATTCCAGCTGATTCTGACAAAGGTTAGAAGAGAAACCAGCTTAGATATAAATTGAATAAGAATCTTCGCAATGACAGAGCAGTTGTGTGTGGCGAAAATGAAAAACGCACAGAAGGCATTAGTATTAAAAGATAGTCTAAGCATATGAAAGAAACTGGCAGGGAAAATATGATCCGTCAGTGTGAGCACTACCGAAAAGGATGAATTCATGATAACTCCCAGAACTTACGGCTAGAACACTGAGTAGAGCCTTACGAAGAACAATTCGATTGGCCTATAGTCACTTTAGTTGTCCAATATCCTGTCAGAACCAGAATGGGACGTCGATGTCAATCCTTCAAATGTGGTAGGAATTGGGAAGACTGTTCAAGAATTAAAACCAAGTCAGATACAAAAACCTGACGATTTGCCGCCACAGGTCTTTAAGGATGGAGAGAGTAATACTGAGGTGCTAACTAGTCTGTTAAAATGAAAAGTATTGCCTTTACTCTGGTGCATGTCGCCGAATATTCAAGTTTATAAGATAGATAGTTCTCGTGAGATAATCACATCGGAGAACAGTTTCACTAACAGTTTACTTATAGTCCTATGGCAGTCTCCTTCCACATGTGATAACTTGTACAGGTTTTATTTATTCTCTAGACAAGCGGCTTCCATGAGGTCACGGGATTTATCTTTTTACTTCATTGAGATTTTACAAATGTGTTTCTCTTAACAAATTTAATTCTATCAGACTAAAAGTCGATCCTGTGGTCGTTAATCTGAATTCCAGACTTTCAAAAATAGAATACAGAGATTCACAAGCTGCTAAATAAAAGGTAGATATTGCTATAATAAGGAGTGATGGAAAATTGTTATAAACTATTTTATAGGAATTAGCGATTCCTTATCAGTTTGACAGTCTTCAGCGGAAAGAAAAGACAGATTCAAACAATAGTGAAAGACTATTGGTTCATATCATTAAGTGACTGAGCATGAAAGGTGACTGTTAACTCAATCAGTAAACAGCATATGTAGGCCTTTTAGAATTTCCAGCCTGAGTTCAACACTAACTATGTTTAACTGTTTAAGTGCTTCTTCAAATGGGGACAATTCATGATTAATACGATCTTCGAAAGAATAAATTTCCTCAAAACAACATCTTCAGTAGAAAAGGATATATCTAGAAAACACGTTGAAGTTATGAGCACCGTAGAACGCGTTTTTAAAGCAGTCCAAATGCTTTCTTAATATCCTGAAAATCTAATGTAAAATCAGGAGATTAATTGGATTATCTTACATAACGATGATTAACTGGTTGACTGCATTTAAACGTAATCTTTCTATATCTGTAATCAATCCACGCATTATTTAAATTATGATAAACAAACTTCGATGAAAACTTCATCGCTTCGCGTATCTCCTCAATATTAATTTCTGATAAAACCAACTGCACGTGAATATTGAACATATTGGCGAACTTCTTCAATGAATCATAAAAACAACGCATAGAGTCTGAATCTGTAAGTATAAGGTCATAAAAAAGTAAAGGAAGGGGGGAACCTTTAAAAGCTGACCGGTCACGATAGCACAACGTCATGTTAACAGTGTTGAACTCATTTCTTATCTGAAAGATAGAAGGAAGAGGTTATTGGATGAACACCATGATCGCTTGTTATTTATTCAAACTTGCAATTTTCAACTGCATACATTACTGAACCGAATTGGTCAATTCTGGTATATAGGCTATTTTAATATATCTGGAGGTTTATTAATTGACTTTAGGTTGCAATTCATCATGGACTAACATCAGTTGGAGGGACATTGGAAACCTAGGGGGAATGGACAGCTGTTTTGTCCTAGTATGGGACTCCTCAACAGTGTGCACGCATGACCCCGCCAGGGATCATTTTTGATGAAATAATACTTGGGTGCAGCCAATCACTTATTTTAAATTAACACAAACCAAGATATGACGGCTCATTTGCAAACTGGTGATCTATTCAATACGTTACTTAAGTGGCCGTGTAAAGAATGAGTCATTTTTCAGAACATTTTCACCTTCAGATATAGTTAACGTATACTGATTCAGTGAACAGCTCCATTTATTCAAGCCTGATGAACAATAGGTATATATCCTTTGGAATCTTAGTGCTTAGGCTGTATGCGTTAAAACCCACCCTGGAATTAGCAGCCGTACAGTTTTACTAAGCAGCATCATCTGATACATCAAACATTCTTTAAAAAAGAAAAATCCTACATAAAACATGTGTGAACAAGTTCAATTTATAGAGTTTTATAGATATACCTATTGACAGTGTGGTATATACTATTGGAATATTCAACACAAAAGTACTTTTATATTTCACTTAGGTCCTAAATTCCTGCTCAACCTAATACAACTGTTTCACTCAGAGTTATTTTCAAAACAAATCACCATCGTCCGTTAACTTTAGTAAAAGGTAAATGCCTACACTCCATTGAGATAGTGACTGGAGGATGAGTAAATGTCAACCAGTTGAACAATCCTACCCACAATTCCACCCACCTCTTTTTAGAGTTAGTCAGAGACACTCTCTTTATGATGACGGCATCTAGAAAGTCTATCTAATTAGCCAAAAAGCTGCAAACTATTCACTAGTGTAATACGTTTTCTATCTCCATTACCATCCACCAACAGTTAACAGTCATTAAGTAACCTCTTCGTCAGCTCCCTATAGAACTACTTCGGCTGTAAATTGCCAAGGAAACCAGCTGGTAAACAACTTCACAGGTCCGTTAGTTCAAAAGTTTGTAGAGACTCACTATTCTTGGCCGTAAGGTGGGTAATTTCTTTGAAGTTGTTTCATTAACAGTCTGGATATGTTATCAAGATGAGGAAGATTACCATAAATGCTAGTGCATATATAAAAACAAACTTAATGTTTTCCCTAAAAAGTCAGATAGCAAAAGGACTTTTAGTTAGATGTTTTTGCATACATTAAGACATATGGCTTGGAAGCAACATATCTCCTAGGGAAAATAGAAGCTTCAAAAACAGCGGGACCATCTACCGATCCTTTTAACGACACGCAACTGCTATGTTGTTTGCCTACGTCAATGAGTGCAAGACTGGACAATATCTTCACAAGTGATTATCAAGAGAAATTTGTAAAACATGATCATTTTCATTTGTTTAGAAGCACATATTTCTTTTAAAAATGCTTTACCCCCCCCCCCCCCCACCGCAAATGTCTTTTTGCAGAGCTTAGTTTTCCTATTCGTTTATTAAAATTAATTGGTAATATGAAGTCCCGAACATCGCCGTTTTCTCAATAAAATAGGCAGTTTTAGGTAAAACCCTTACCTCAAACAATCCGAAGTTTATTCAACGAACAAATAAGTAGAGACTACAAACTGTGTCGATGAGTATCATCATTTTTTCTAGTTGCCTTATTTTTTACTCAGACAAACAACAGACAAGCGATAAAAACCAATCAAGTCAAGAAATACACTTTTACCCCCTAAACTGTATGTTTAAAACACACGAAGGATGGATGTTTTATTTAAGTAACCAAAACAAGAAGTGAATTAGTGGTATGTTTATAGGATGTAAAGATTATTCACATGAAACTGGTTGTAAACATTTTTCAAGGATATTAACTATTACAGAGGTTCTAACCTTCAGAAAGCGTTAATTTTAAAACTGTTCCTTTCGAATTTCCCCGTCTTGAAATTAGAAAATAGCAAAGCTGAAAATGCCAAGGCTTGTCACCGACACATCCGTCTAGCAAATGGTAAAACTTCAAATTCCTAACCGTCTCAGTTAAATCGTGTACATGATGTTATTAGCTGAATTGAGACCTATTACACACTAATCGAAATTCTTAGTATAGTAGGAGTTCAAAGAATAGCAGACTGAGTCACTTAGTTTCGACTGAATTATCGTAATAGCCTAAAAAGAAACCAAAAGATCCCGCTTCATTTAATGTATTATAATTATGTTCTCATCATTCGGTCTTAAGGTAGTTTTTAAACATCGTTTTGAACAGGGTACAACCCTCAATGATAAAAGTTAAGTTGAGACGTGGTCCACGACAGGATCTTTTAGTTTAGTTGGTAATCCAGAGGCCATCAGTTCGAACCCAGCTTTTTATTTCACCTTCAATCTTTGTGCTGTATCATTATTACTACTTTATGTTATTAAATTCCCATTCCAAGAACATTGTGATATCAGTTGATATTAACCATTTTCAATAGTTAACATTATTTTTTTAAAATTAATATTTAGCCATCAAGCTATTAAAAAAGTTGGCTAAACATGGTGTGCATTTATAGACGTAAAGAAAACAAAACAACAACCTCAATCTATTCAAACACAATACTTAGCGGTTTACTTCTTTCACAACTTCGTTAGGAATTCAAGTAAAGTTGAAGTTGGTTTAAGCGCTGTACTGAATACATTAGGGCATGATAATTTACGGTTGGCAGTTTTCTAAACTTTTAGTACACGCAAAGAAACAATAGCACAGTTGGTTTTTTTCTAAATTCAGTCACCATGAGGAAAAATCCTACCAACCAACGTCACACTGCTTCACAGTCGAAAGTGCAAAAATCTCAAGACTACTGAAATGCTATTAAACAAACAAACAAACACACGTATGAAGGAAACGTTGCTGAATTATTGTTTTGTGACAGGAAGATGGTAAAATAGTCAAGCATTTATTGGATTAAATTTTAAGCCTAAACTCCATTGTTAGACTGATAAACCTTACCCTTTATCAATGCTTTTTCCTAGCAACCCTAGTAGTTGACTTCTTTTAGGCTATGGATTTATCCCGCCAACTAGAAATGTACTTCAGAAATATTAACTGTCAATCCTTATTCACTGGATCACGAAAGCAAGTTGCTCTACTTATTATTTCCGTCTCAACAGCGGCATAAAAGATAACTTTTTCAACAACACATAATGTAATCCAGGAATCAAGTGCTTGGTGCATTAGTTGTCAGTTTTCCAGAACTAACTGCACAACCTGGTTGCTATGATGTCTATAGAATAAATGCAGTTCACTGAATAAAAGTGAGTGCATGAGCCAGTGAGTCACAAATTAAACGATAAGTGCTTTGCAACCATTCAGTTACAAAACTAGGTAACTGACTAAAAAACTCATTAACATACATAAACAGGTATTTGCAAACCAAATTTGTAAGTTATGACAAAATAGGCTAAAAGATAATCTCAACAGATAGTGAAGTATAGTTAGTCTATCAAAAAGACTTTTTCAATACCACTTTTTATTTGTAAAGACAATGATTTGAGTCAACAGTAAAATAAGAGAATTTCAACCAAGTTAAGATAAAAAACGGAACAAAAGGAATGAGGAAAAGAGGAAAAAATCATGAAGATGAGGATAACACGAATCAGTGTTAAGCGTGTGTGTTGTGGAAAAGAGTAGGACATATTTAGACGAAAGAAGCTGAACAATCCACAAATCCTATACCTTGTTCATCCAGTCCTTTTTCCTTTTAATGAAACTAATGAGAAACGCACAGTAATAAGTAAATGCTAAACATGAAAACATGTCCACTGCGAATACGATAAAGCATGATCACAAGATAAGGAGGAATATAACATAAAGGATACACTATGAAAGCCGAAAACTGGAAGAGATGCTGACATGTTAAAGGGAATCTAAATCAGAGATGATCAAAGATAGTGTATAGTAAATAAATAATTGAAATCAAAACTGAAACCAATTTTCCAGTAAACAAATGAATATGTAACTTTTGGTACAATATGATAACTACTACTAATACTAATACAGTAGCCAGTAGTAAGAGCAATAACAAATTGGAATGCATTTTTCTGAAACCCGTTATTGCACGCTAAAATAAACGAATAACGCGTTAATATGAAAAAAAAGAAAGAAAAATACTGAGATAATTTCAATCGTAAAGGAAATGATATAGTGGTGAAAAATAAGGAATGCCTAGTCCAACTCATACAAGCACACAAATACATGCACTGAACAAATTACACAGTAAAAAAGAGAAAAGAATTACGATAAAAGAAAAAGAGAAGGATGAAGATATATCACATGAAAAAGATATACAAAGAAGTCACTATAGCACAAGATAGACGCTTACAAAATATAAGACTAACAATCCGCTTAAGATAGCCTTCTGAAATGCAGAATCAATTGTATAAACAATTTGTTCTTAATGGACATTCGATAGAGGGATTAAAGATGACTATGACATAAACCATGTTACAATAGGCATTGAAGGAAAATCTCATTTTACAGCACAGTTAAATACACTTACATCAACGATAACAAACAAAACAACAATAAAAACAAATGCATTCAAAGATAATTAAGTGAATAAAGAAAGAAATAAAACGGACTATTAATAAATCACATAATTGACTAATAGCACTTCTATACTTCAACAACAAACTCTGGATTAACAAAGAAAATCCACTGAACTCAGTTTGAGTTAAATTCATCACAAATAATTTGTCAGTTGGTGTTAATTCAGGTGTATCTTTGGTGAATTCACTGTCAAAGTTACTTGTATCACATGGTGAATACTAAAAAAAAAAAGTGTTCAGGTGAAAAAATAAAAGGCGAAAGCAAACATAGAAATAAGTGAACAATCCCTCTAAATTTATGATATTTATTCAAGCAGTGAAAGATTACTTTCGGATGTGGTAAGTGTGAAAGTGAATCCCCAATTCGGAAAAGAAAACTGGTCATACATCTCGACACTTGAGAAAAATAATATATCACTGAAAGCATTTTCATCATGATAATAAAATGCTTTTTCATATAATTTTACCGACAAAGTGGTAGTATGTAACTATTCAAAACTACTTACTACCATTCTCAGTGTATCAATGTAAACCCAACTGGTCTACCATGGGTGAGAAACTATGAGAATTGACATCTTCGTTATACAATAACCAGAAATCATTCAGTCGTAAAATCAAAAGTTCTACTGGAATGTCAGAATCCATTTATCAGATCACTGAGATGATGTTCTGATCACTACTAATCTGAATCAAGATATACTTTTAGTCGGTAGAAGCAATATCGGAAAATTAAGGATTCAAGTGTAAAGGCAGTCAACGCACACTGATCAAGTTGTTGAAGATGTTATCTAGAAAGAATATAAAAGTTTTGCAATAACTTCATCGAGCTCAGAGGAAGCAATGCAACCATGACTATTTATTTCCTCTCAACTTCAGCCATCAACCTCATATACATTTACACAAATTTCAATTGAAGTTATTTGCTTTGATTGCCATTTATAAACTAGAGAAAAATATTACCTAAGTAATACACATAATCTTTCTGACGTTCTAAGATCATGATTATGGTTGCAGAAGCATAGTCATTGATTAAGAAAGAGTTTCCAGTTTTGTCTACATAAAGGAATAAACTAATGCAGCTCAGTCAGGTTCTTGTAGTGGATGATGAGTTATACCAACTTACTTGTAAAAAAACTTAAAGAACCCTCTTTGTTACTCAGACCTCGGCGAGTCGGATACAGTGCAATCTCGTGACCCATCAGTTGGAAGTGGATTTCACATGCCAATAAGTCAAATGACTCTTTCAAAATATTACTGGACTACATAATACCCAAACCTCCTAAATACTTAAGCGTACTAATAACTAATAAAAGATAAGTAGTCTTGAACTAATCGTAGTGATAATGGCACTTATCAGGGCATACATAAACAAATGAGTCATTGGAAAATCAGTGTGTGTTGGAGTTGTTTATGTTCTTTAGAACTGTAATAATCAAAAATCCGAAAATTTACATTTTGCCCTTTACAATGACAGTCTTTAAAAGACACATTCTGCAAACACCAGAGTAACATTTGGAAATTTCTCATCATAAAAATTCTAATCGTAATGATAATTCATCGTAAAATTTTATTGCGCTTTTAAAATTATTTGAAATTGTGTTCAGTAATGAATTATATTGCTCACAATACTAAAGAACAACCAATAGCTTTTCTATTCACAAAATGTTCTGAATGAGAAAAGATGAATTGAAAACACTTCAGATATTCATACACAAACATAAAACTTTCTCCATGTTTATTGAGCTGTCTTTAGAGAATAATAAAAGAGGGGGATTGCTTTTCTTGTAATAAATAAATGGTATGCAGAACACACAGACTTTGGTGTTTAGAAGAACAATGATTGAAAAAATTCGATGAACTGCTGTTGAGGTATAATTCGATAAGCAAGGAGACAAGTATAGCTTCATATGATATAATATATAACGAAATAAGTAGAACACAGTATATTATATATGCCGTTAAGTATCCGTTTCTAATGGGTATGCTGACGAAGCTATAGGCTACCTAACGAGTGTACAAGGAATGTCCGATAACTGTGACTAATCAGCCATTTTCGTTAATCTTCTTATGCTTATCTCGTCAAATTTATTTGATCCACATATATGACAGCCTTTGAATACAACAAAAAATACCTTCAGTAGTAGACTAACAAAATCAACGTAGAACCTAGTACACCAGTCCATCGGCTCCAGTTGCCACACTTCACAGTAGTATACAAATACAGGTGTATGGAATAAGAGTGATATCAAACCAAACAAAGTAGGGTGAGAGAATAAATAATTTGAAGATAAGAGTTAGTGCAAAAATATCCAACCTTTGGATGTCAAAGAGTGAATACATCTGCACCATTGTGACCGGTTTTCAGCCATGTCATCAAGACTCTTCAACCACTAATTCCTACGGTCTCAGGGACCCTAGATCTCATCACACGGCTCAGACCAACAGTCATGCAATTCATCGACTGATGCCACGTCTTGGTTTGGCCACTCCGGACCCTCTTTCAACCTAAAACAACTTCCTAGAGTTGGTATGTTGTGGTTCGGCATGTGCAACACATGTTCGGGCCAACACAGTCAATGAGGGTTTACAACCTTGTCAACAGACTTGCTTAGTACCTTTAGCATGACCTCAACATTGCTCACAAGGTGATCCCATCAAACGCAAGCAATGCTGCAAAGATATATTTGATCAAAACCCTTTAACCACTTCATAACTTTAACTTTTAACGGTAATTTCTCCCAGCCGTACAGTAAGACAGAACGAATTGCAAAGCAGCATACTTGTCCTTTAATAGATAATCGGCTGATATGTCAAACATACTCAGATTTCAGTTTGAAAAAAATTTGTTCCCCTGTGCGATTAGGACTAGTATCAATGAAGATCAAAATCTGTAAATTTATTTACTGACCTCAACACTTTACGCTCAGTTTTGTCTACAAAGATATCGATAATGGATTAATTATGGTTTGTGGGAATTGTTTTACAACTTTGAAGTAAAGCTGCTGCAAAGTCTTCTAAAAAATTAGAAACGGAAACGAAAGTAAAACGCAAAAACCAATCCATACTCAGACAAATTCAAATAGAACACTATGAACCACATATACATTACATGAGTAAATAACACCACCTGACTATTTAAACACTGACAGCTGAGGTGAAACTTAAGCTCTTAGTCGACCAGTTTCAGGTCAAGTGCTCCAACCGATGACTCACAGATATACAGTACGATAAAACAAAAATAAACTAATTAAAATATCCAACACAATGACATACGGTGATTGGTTTGTAAGGAGGCTGGACTAAACGCAGAGCAATTTTTTCCCAATCTAAACGCCGGAAAAATAAATGTTCTTTAATTTCTTGTTCACCATCTGGACCACAACCAAGTCGTTTAACTGGATCCCTAGTAAGAAGCTACAGAAGAGAAACCATGTGGTACAAGGATTGAAAAGCAAGATATTATGATTCATGATCTAAAAGAATAATAGATATTCAAAGTGATCAAATCTGGGAAGTTCGGACAGATGGTTAACCTAGTATGTTAAAAGCATTATCACAAGCAATGTTCATATAGACAGTGATGGTTAGTTATCCTAAGAGGCTTAGGACCAAACTCAATAAGTGACTGTTTTATTCTACTAAAAATATTAGGCTGCACTATATGAAACGTACTAAAAATCTCTGATAGGCAAAACTGCCAACACAAACGTGGTTTACATAATTTATCATTATTAAAATCTTCGTAAAATTTTTTCGACAAAATTATGTCTAAAACTACGAATTATTACGCGTACTAGGTTACCAGATGGTAACCGATAGAACTGTAATTTTTTACAGTCTATCTCACGACTTTGCAATGTGACGTCAACTATAAATAACACGACACAAAGGTGAGATATTTAGTAGATGTTTCTAGAGCAAAACCAGAACATATACTTCTTGGTACTTATCAACACAGCATATTTATTCCCTTGCGGAAAGTCATCTGACTGCCTTAATTTCAACCTGCAAAACTTGAAGTGGAAGTCAGGAATACCACAGAATCATACCATACGAACTCAGCAATATGCATCTCTATACGATAAACAATGAGGCCTACCTATGATGTGAAGACTAACGATGTTACCTGGCAGCTCAAACCTCTTAGGTGGAGCGGTGTTTGGAACTTATGACCCAGTGGTTAAAAGTCAACTGCCTGAATCGGAGTCACAGTTAGAAATATCACCACCAAGCTCTGTTAACGGTAAGTGGATCCCTTATGACTCAATTATGTACACGGATATTTTACATTTCTCGGAAGCGCTTTACTCAAGGTTGAAGATACTGACAATAACCATGTTGCAATTTGAGGACAATCTGACTGAATAGGTTACCCATTAATTAATCTGTAATCAAAGTAACTTAGAAAGGTAATTTCATAGACCGCTAGTAGATATTTCTACAAATATTTTTCTGTTGGGGAATGTGGATAGGATTATTTTTGCTGCAAAAGTATCCATTTATGTCATCATTGCCGCTGACTTCAATGATTTTAGCAACCGAAAAACGAAGGACCAGTGCAGTAAAAGAAAACCTGAGGGAGAAAACGCTTCCTTATCTTGATGACGAAAGCCATGAATTGTTATAACTGTATTAATGAAAACTAAGGTTACATTCAGTTTAGGTATATACAAATGATAAGTTCACTGATTGCAACAGCTCTTACATAATGATTCAGCTCTACTTAACAACATTTCTATGTGAAGATGTATAATTTGGGATCTAGGTGTGTTATTTCTTTCACTGCCAATGTTATATTCATGAGATAAAACAAATATTCAATGTTAAGCGCCAATTACAAAACTACATGATGCTACAGTACGCTAAAATGTATCAAGACAGAAGCTTAAAAACTGATGACGCGCAGTCTATAATTCAGCATTTCGATTCTTGAAATAGGCTCGCCCAGCATAAAATGAAGGAAAATAAATATGAGGATGTCTTGAAACTAATCGAAACATAGGCGTGAAATCGAAGCGAGCCACATCATCAATGAATGATAAGGTGAATTAGGCATCAATCCAACTTGAACTTGACAGTTCACCAACTTTAACAGTTGGGTACCTCTTAGTTGTCAAAGAAATCTCATTCACTTGCTGGGTTCTATAATCCATAAATCTGTTCAGAGACACGGTCGATGTTGATATTGGAACTCTTAGAACAACATGATTGAATAATGGATACCCTAAAGGATTTATTGATAAACACTTAAAGAAACGAATTACTCTCTCACCGTATTACAGTTTCAAAAAAACTATAGACACGAATTTGGAATTCAGGGGGACACCGCAGCCGGAGTGTTGAACAGTCGTGTGTCGAAGTGTTTCAATAGTACCTCTAATTCGGGTAGACTGAGATTGATATTCTCCGTTGTCTGATTCGACAATGCATGAAGGATAGGCTGTTGTTTATGTCCACATCTATGTGTATCTACAAATTCACACGCTCTTGTGGGGCTGACTATATTGGACGTCATAAGTGGGTCCTCCGAAAACGATTTGCTGAACACTAACCGGTTTCGTTTACTAAAGACGAGCAAAGAGAAACAACTTCATCCATATTTGAACACTTAATGGAGTTAGGTTAGGTCATTCAGCTTTTCAAGATTCATCCTTTAAGGTAATTCAGAATATCAAATTGAACTACTCTAATGGTTTACGTTTCCACCCCATATGCATAAGCTAAAGCACTAGTTATAATATAAGAACATTTGAAAGATAGAAACGTTTCAATCGAAATAACTAACTCTTCTAATAATTGCGATTTATACTTTAAACGTTTAACTAAAAACGTCCTGTCAACCTAAATTTCCAGTCACTGTAGATACAACAACACACCAGTCATTATTATCAGTACAGCTTCATGAACTGATGGAGTTAGAGTCAAACTACATAAAAGAGAATTTTATCATAAAAATAAAATAAATAGTAATAATGAATTAACTGCCAGACTTACAGCTTTACAAATGGATACAGATTCTTTGGATAAACTCTTAGGATACGAAATATTATGCTGTAAAATATTTGCGAATAAATCCTCTTCATCTTCACCCTCAAATGGCGGCTATAAGTTAATAATAGTAACAATCATATATATATATATATATATATATATATATATATATATATATATATATATATATATATATATATATATATGACGAAGAATGTGAAGTGGGATATTGGTTACCTAAATGTTAAAAGATTTGACAAAATCAAGACATTATCTAACTGAGTTCTACATCTCACTCACTACGACCTATCCCCTACGATTGCAGACGTACCGGAAACTTGAAAATTATTGCAACTGACACAAAAACAGCATATTTTCTTAGATGGTTCCAAAAACAGCTTACACCCATACCTTACAGACGTTAACATCCGCAAAATGTACATGAAGATCAGCTAAAAAAATTGTCAGTTATAGTTATAAAGTTCCATAAAAGGACGTATGTACGGCAATTCTTGATATAAACTAAGCATAAATCCTAAATAACAATTATAGGTTTCAAAAGACGATTTCAGGGTTAAAAGGACAGAACCAACTGATATACAGTACACTCCTTGTTTAACAGCTAGTCAGAACCACACATGAAACAAGTTGGTAAATGCCCAACCGACATTCTGTATCAGGACGATGCAACTCCCCAAGTAGTGGTAGTGATCCATGCATTCAAGTACTTCACTCCCTATCCTAAAATTGAGAGTAGTTCCACACTAGTCCGGATGCAGTATATCACATTTGACATGTGCGCAAAGACTGTCAGACAAAAACACTCAGATTTCTGCTCAATGCATTCAGAAGCCCCTCCATTTGGTGAGGATCCTCACTTAGCACGAGAATATCATCTGCATACTCCAAGTCAGCAACATGCTCACCAGAGTACATAAATCACTGTGAAGTCAGACATACCTAAGGTTATGTGCGTTAGTACATCAGTAGTGAAATCAAACAGGAACGGTGACACCTGGTATCAAAGATGGATACCACTAGTTGCCATCGATTCTAATGACAACTATCCATAAGCACTTACACGGCTCCATTAGTTTGAGTAGAGAGCTACAGTTACTGTTAAATGCTTGCTCTATACTCTCTTCAAAGTCAGACAGTCGACAGAGCTAAATGCCTTCAGGTCTAAAAAAATTGGTAAGTGTCGGGACTTACCAAGTATGGCTGAGTTCCGGAACCTTTCAAAGGGTTATGCATCCCCCTCCTCGTCTCAAACTTGTTTGGCTTTCCTGAGCTTGTTGTCCTTGAGTTCTAGTTAGGCGTCGGTTAACTATTATATTAGGATCTTGGGCACAATATTAGTCAGACGAATTCCCCTGTGGTTGTCACAGGAAGACTCCTTTCCCTTCTTATAGACTGGGATGATCAGAGACGTAGACCAGTCTGACGGCACCACCACTGACTTCCCTATGCTGCCTAGTACCCCTGTTACTCTACCCAGTAATTCCCTAAGCTCGTTCTTAAAAACTTCAGATGGTTAACCGTCCGGTCCAGCAGCTCTTAATCTTTTCAGGTGCAAAATAGCATTTGGAACTTCAGTTGGAGGACTGACATATACGTCCCATCCAGGTTCAGACTGAATGGTGGACAACTACAGCGTTTCCGTCGGAAAGCTGAACTGTGCCTCAACGTTCTTGCCCTCTGTCCCGAAAGGTTACCAAGGACCCATCAACTTTTGCCATGATCTGACTGACCATCATTCTTTTCTTGTCAGTTTTATCATTAAGATTAAATCATTCCTACAGCAGAGTGAATATTAAATCAAGTTTCTTTAGTATGAGCATTTCTGTCACGCTCAGATAGATCACTAACTATCTCTTCTCTAACGCTTGTCCTTCTCATTTTCCGACTGACAACATACAGGCTTGAACTCCATCTGCCTGTTTTCTCTTCGACTAGTAAGGCGCGAACACACGTGCCCATACTAACGCCTAATCGAAGATCAAACCACTGGTACACCATAAAGAGTGACAATACTCCACCAATCCTGTTCAACGATGGCTTGCTTATAGCAGAATGATCTATCTGAGTTCAATGTTGATTTGATGTCAGTGGACAGCATGTGAAACGGTGTCTCTCCTTATGCTTAAAGTTAGTGCCAGTCAGAAACAAGTAACTAGCAGAACAAAATCGTAACAGACGGTCACCGTCTTCAGTTCATTGGCAAAGGATTGCGCAGATATCCGGCACGGAAGAATCTACTATTTTGGGAGTAAACGATTTCGAACCTTTCACCTCTTCCCAAACGGAAGGCGGCATCACCATGTTGCTGCTGCCTATCCATGAAGAACTCCACGAACAAAAGAACTATCAAAGGTAATTCTGAAGGTTATTATTAAAAATCTCACGTCTGAATTGCTTTCTATGTTACATGGTAGGTATTAGGATCATATCACCAAATATTTTGAGTGATGCTGTAGAAATTCCCGGGAGAACAAACCACTGTATCTCATTTCTTTTATTTTGTGGACTACTTGTCGACTGTGTAAAATGTAAGTCAGAGACGTACGTTCGTGCACTCTGTGGTTAGCCGAAACGACAGTGTGACAGATGTAAGACTACCCTTATTGTTCAAATTTTAGTACGGGAGCAAGTTGCAAACAGTGATTCTATTGCTGCCAGTCAACTTCGCAGGTCAATGAGACAGCTCCCAATGTAGTGTGTATAAGATATATATATATATATATATATATATATATATATATATATATATATATATATATATATATATATATATATATATATATATATAGAATATAAGATACTACATCAGAAAGAAACGAACAATAAGTTAATATACACAGATTTACCTGACCAGCTAACATTTCATACAACAGAACGCCATACGACCACCAGTCCACTGATCTTCCATAGGGTTTATACAGTAGTATCTATAATTGAACAAAACACTGTAAGTGAATGAAATCCTGTAGGTCAATTTCAGTTGGTCACTATGAACGCAGAACAGTGACGGTTTACCAGGTTGCTAAGCTTACATAAGCACATCAAGAAAACAGGTAACATGAAAAGAGACAGAGAACTAAAAAATGTAATGAGTAACAGAAAGTTATACGAATAGAAGAACAGAGGTAAAACAAATAACGAAATTTGATGTGAAGGTTACCATGATGATAATATGTGGACGAATCTGTGCCAATTAGTGCGATTCTGCACAATAACACATGAGGTCCCAATCAACCCACTAAATTCAGTCATTATCATCATCAACATGGGACCAGGCATTACTGCGTAACGGTCTGAGTTGCCATAGCTCATATCAGTACATCAAGTAAATTTAGTAGTGATGTCGACCCCAACGGGAAGTCTAGATTTCCCTATATGATCAGAAAATGTCTGAAACTCCATGGAGTGGTGCTTCGTTCTAGTCTCACTACCTTCAACCGTTTTTCAGTGGAGATTGCACTAAAAAAGGTGAGTGTAAATACGTCCACGCCATGTGCCATGTGTGTCGATGGAGGTTCGAACCATCTCTTGACATGACTATTTCCTAATCTTAAAATGTCTGACATCTGGTCTATTTAACATTATAATTTACTTACTAAGAAAAAGGAAAATTAGTCTAAAAAGACTACTGTCAATGTATGAGATAGGTAGAGAGCAAACTTATAAATGACCTGCGCTTCCTTACTTGTCAAATGAAAAAAGTTGTCCGTTACGTAATAATACTTCTCCATGATAGCTTAAGTAATTCCCTGAATTATCATGTGTACTCAGTTCATCACAAACAATTGATGAAAAAGACCTTATGAGTTGCTAACGAGAACATAAAATAAGGCGTACATTTCATAATTTAACATAAAATATGTAAGACAGTTTATATACATATCGTCGTTAGACTACTGACTGAACGGAGATGATAAGCAAGGAAATAATTCAATAACCAGTAAGATAAGAATTTATTTATGACTGCGAAAAGCCAATCGGTAGGATCTCAACTCAATAATTTGTTCATTCATTTCCTTGGAGACATAAAATTACGGTTTTGAAACAATTGACGGCTGTCAACAGTCCTCATTTTATTCCCTAAGGTATAGTTGAAGGCGACTGAGGACTCATACCAGAATTTTTGTGAAAAAAAACCAATCTTATATTGAGAATATATAACAAAATACGTATATTGTGACGGTTACAAGAATAATGATACACAGTTGGTATAGCTAATACAATTAGTCTATGGTATTTTATTACACTGATATATTCTGATGTAAACGTTCGACGGCAACTTATTGACTCCGTTTTCTTTTTAATCCCTTAAATTAACCTTGTAATAAGTTTAAAAAGCTCAGCAATCGACAATCACTCTGACAATCTCATTATATGATATGCTTAAGTCTTGGTTCTAAATGCTATAGAAGAATTTCAATTTAGCAACCTCAAGCATAGAATACAATAGCTACTTACATTGATTGGTCATCGGAAAACAATCGAGATCGTGTTGTCAGGTCTTGAGTGCTGACTGAATTCAATCGATCACTTTGCAGTGTGGTCACCAAGCCAAGAAGTTCACTCTGATGGATGTTAGTTGGTTGAAGGCAATCGGGAGGAAGCCCTGAACCTCAGTAGTAACGTCACTGACTGTAGCAGTGGGTGATGTGAGTTTAAATCTCAGAGAGGATATCTGTTCCCTTAAGGTTGCAGATAGGTCTTTCTGATGAGAACCAACAAACTAGAAGCTGAAGTTCAAAGCTTCCTGCCAACTGGATTCAACTAACTAATATTCGTTATTTATTTACAACGTAACTAGGGATAGTTTGATAGATAATCTATTATTACTGATATGATTTCAGTAAACAAATTATTTGCACAATGAATGAGGTCGACCAGTATATGTGATGAATCATATTTATGAAAGAAATGATATCACTTCCTTATCATCATCATATTGTGGCAACTACCAATAGAATATACCAGATTAGTTTCAGCCGACTTTGCATAGGTGCTAGAATAATTACTGAATGACTAGATCAATGATTAGGATAAAGTTATCGCTAATTTAATATTATATATATATATATATATATATATATATATATATATATATATATATATATATATATATATATATATATATATATATATATATATATATAACTGGAAAGAACGGTGAACCAGAATTAAGTACACTGTAAACATATAAGTTGAACATACTTCTGGTGCAATATAATCAGGTGTACCACAGAATGTCTGTGTTGTAGCATCTCCAGTAATACCATCTTTACACATTCCAAAATCAGCTATCTTTATATGTCCTTCAGAGTCTAGCAATAAATTATCCAATTTTAAATCTCTGTAATTAACAATAAAACACAAAAAATTGTAGTGTGAAGTGTAACAACCTTCTGATTTGAGATTTCAGAAGCAAGAAGCAGGATAAAATAATAACATTCTAATTTACAGGATGTGCATTAGCCGTACAAATCAGAATAAATAAATATGTAATGCATTTTACAAGTGAGAATAAGAATTGTTCGTTCATGTTTGGATATCGGTAAGACAAATGGGGTTTCAAAATATTTATTCTTAAAATACAGTCAAATGGGGGATATTTTGTTGAACAGATGGAAGAATCTATTTAAATGAGTAGAGATAGCCTACTTATAAACAGATATACTTACGTAATCCGGTGCGATACACTGTCTATAAAAAATATGCATTGGCGAGGTCAATGATCTTGATAATAATAAATACAGCAACAAACAGTAATTAAAATAAAGGGAAATAGAAATAGGTATTCGAAATGTTTTAAAGAAGGGTGTAAGAATAAATTTTTGGTAAACACGCTATTCTTCTTTGAGTACGTGTACAGTAAGTCAATATTTAAATATTAATAATTTTTGCCCATGAAACTACAATAGCCGTTTGGTGACAACGTTTTATCAAAGTGCAGGGGACTTGTGCTCTCTGTTCAGAAAAAACAGAAGAAACTGAGTTAATTCGATAGTATCCGCACCCTAACGGATACTAGAAAACTACTATGCAGAAAGACCAAAAGTAATTTCAGTTTGTTCATTCAATAACATTCATCTCTCCAACTGGCAATCATCTTTCAGTTGACTACATTTTATTATTTTCATTACGTGAAGTTGCATTGTTTTTCCTGAATTCCATAAAGTAAATAGGGGTTGTTAAATCTTTTGTGTAAAATACGACAAAATAACCATTGTGATTTTTAATTTACTTGATTATTTAGGTTGTATGCAGCTGATGAAAATCCAAAGAAATGAAATGAAGTCATCATGTTTTTCAAAATTTTTACGCACTACATTTATCAAAGTGATTAAGGGAAGTTAGGTTTATGGTATTAAATCATTTATGAATACTCAGTCATGATATTGATGCTATTATGGAGTAGTTTCTTTTAAAATTGCGAGTGATCATGAAAAGTTATGCACTCACAGTGCATCAATTGTCAGAGTGAGTACCTAAGTAGAAAACCAGTAATAATCAAATTCAGAAAACACACACTGGCCAGATATCTTGAGATATTGAAACGCCAAACAATTTCAAAGTTCTAGAATATATTATTCAACACTGAATGTTTTGGAACGTCTGGTAAATAGAACTAGTTACCATTAATGTGAGGTGCTAACTGCATTAAGAGCAACACAGTGAACAATGATATTCAGATTTATAAGACACACCGAACATGTTCGAGGAATGACAGATAACGGTTAATCACAAACGGTTCATTGGGTTAAAGTTTAAAATTAGGCGAACAAAGGATCAGAAAGCCATCGTTCAGATATTTCATACACTAGATAACTTAATTGGTTATCTCACATTTGAAATCGCTCACAATTTCAGACCATTTTTTCCCTCTTTACACATTTCGATGAAGTTATAACAAAACGCTTTGTAAAGTATTAGCCCACATTGAAAAACATCAGACAAAACACACATCAGCTTCAACTAACTTAAAATGGTCAGCATATATATATATATATATATATATATATATATATATATATATATTCACAAATTGTGGATCTGCACATCGTGATTACCCAGGACATGGTTGGTATAGTTTCATATATAGGGTAGCGACTCCTTCACTTTATATTTTCACTCGTTGTTCTATTAGTTTGAACTAATGTGTCCGGAAAACAAATTAATTTAGCAAGAATGAAGTAGTTTTATTAACTGTTACTCACCTGTATATGATGCCTTTATCATGTAGAAAAAACAAACCAACAGCGACTTCAGCAGCGTAAAAACTAAAAATTATCAAACAATGTAAAATTTATCAAAGTAGATTCAATGGTAAAAGTGTAAAGTCTCTTTTCAGTACTAGTGAAAGGATGAATCAAAAAAATGAACACTTAGGCGCTTGTGCAATACATTCATGGTTTGTGCTAACTGCTTAGGGACTATTGATACAAATTTACTCTCAAAACCTTGGTAAATACATTGAAATTCGAAAAAGTGACGCAACAAAAAAAATGTTTAGAATTTGATTTTGAGGGAGTTGTGGGGATTTGGAAATATTTCAATTTGTTATTCACTGTAGACGGACATCAGTTGGAGGAACAAAGGAAACTTGGGAGCACTGGAAGGCTGTATCGTCCTAGTATGGGGCTCCTCAGTGGTGCGCACCTAGGACCCCACCAGGGATCGAACCCGCAACCTATTGAATCGTATAAAGATAATGAACTGTCAGGAACACATTACAATCTGGTAGACATTAAATAACATTATATTTGCGGGAAAAAAATCATCGTCATCGATCAGTGTTACAATTGATGCATAAAACATCCTGAAGAAACCCTAATTAGACAACAGAAACAAAGGTCGAGCAATTCGACCCTGTATAGTAAAGAAATTATAAATTTCAATAGACAACAACTGATACTCGTCACAAAGGTGGTGCCTTTTTACTTGATGTACTGATATGAGCTGTGGCAACTCGGACCGTTAAGCAGTAATGCCTGGTCCTATGTTGATTTGGATAGGATGGATGACAAAGGTGGTGACTCTCATGTCCCAGTGGGTAACGCTTTGATGTTTAAAGTGATGGGTACTGGGTTCGAGACCCAGTAGGAACAACACTCACTGGGATGCAGCTGTCGAGTCCTCAGTAGGACAAAACGAGCATCCCGGACCCTACTGCCAGCCTGTTTTGACAGCTTAAAAATTCTTCTTAATATGTCCCACCTCCTCAATAGAGGATGAAGCTTGAGTTTAAATTTGATTTATTTTGTTTAATTTTATTGGGCATAAAAATATCTTGTTTCATGATTGATAACCAAATAATCTGCCAGCCTGAGAAATATCCATTTATTCTCAGCCTTCTAATCATTTGCTGACCTAATAAATGCCCACATATATTCACTTGGTAAACAAACTTTTCAAGAGATTCTCTAGTTTATCCTTAAAAGTTTTCTGTCAAATAGGTCATTTTTATTCTGTTCTACGTGTTTATCCATCCTATACGAAGGACTTATCGCTTCTAAATATTCGTGAAGACACTTGAATTTTTGGGTATGAATTTGATCTGATAACTTTCTATGCCAATAAAGAAATGTTAAGTCCCCTGATATATACAAAAGGAGGCATAAAGAGGAATGAATAACTTCGTTCAATCAGTTTAGTAAGACTTTTCATGTAAACAAGATTAGCATAATGTTAATAAAAGGAGGAGAAAAAGAGAACGATGAAAATGACTTATTTGCATTTAGTCACATCAAACACTCGAAAACAGCTGTTTTTCTATGAAACGAGATAATAACAATAAACAACGGGCAAAGAATAACAATAGAAAGCACAAAAACCTTTTGAAAGGAATGAAATGTTAGTACCATTATGTGATAGAATTGCAAAAGAAGCCTTCAGCAATGTTAATCTAACCAAGGTAGACAAAAAGACCATAGTAGAACTACAGAAGGTGAAACATTTCCAGATGTACACTTAACGAGGGTACACGCAAAAAATCAGTAGCAATAGAAATATAATACAATAAAAAAGCAATATGAAGATATAAGAATAAATAAATGAAGCCCCATGTGACGTTAGAAATGTTGAGTGGAATAAAGAGTGAGTGACTTTGAGGCGTACTATTGGATATAATGCAATACTTATTCCCAACATCTTGAAGATTTCCGCCAAGGAGTTTAAACTTCTCTAAACTGCTCAGACATATAATCAGCGAATTCATCGATCACTGTTACTTCTCAATTTCACGCACGACAAATTCTAACCAAATTCTTATCAGTTAAAAACTCTTCAACAGTGTTCACCTATATATACACATATTTTTTTCCAGTTGAAATAGAATAAAAGGGGTAAAGTAAACTTACAGGAAAGCAAGTAATTTCCGTCCACTACGTTTGATTACTCGACAAGAAAATTTATCATTCACATAAGTAATAAATAAATAATGAGACCTGCCATCTCATTTACAAAATGTTTCAGCATGCTCAAAAGTTCTTCAGTCCAAACATTCACACGAAAAACACCTTGACAATACATATTTAAAATGACACAATTGGTTGCCAACACTAATGATCAGCTGCATGGGAATTTCACTAAAGAAGCAGCGAAACTGATATTCATGTTAGAAGATTGATGTGACTACGTATGAGTGACTTTGTAACGTCAGGTAATCATTAAATAAAACTATGAAAAAGGATATGAATGCTACAAATTGGTTTTTAGACGACTTTTCAACAAAAACAACTTTTAGTATAATTGCTTGTCATTATACCATCGTTGATTGATCCCTATTGGCATATGGGCTCCTGTGAGGATACCTTAATATTACCTGTGTTCTAATTATAGTACATCCAGCTGACGAGTCCCAAATAGAATGAAATGCGCAACCTGGATTCCACTGCTAGCCACTATCCATCTTTACTAAAAACAAGCTTTATTAAGAAAAACACCTGGCTCATTCACTGAAGAGGGTATTTTTACTTGTGTAGTGTCTAAACACAATTCATCCCACACTACTGTGGAATGATGAAGGATATTTCTGAACAATTATTGCTCACGAAAAACTGCGAGGTTTAAAAAAACGCCTTCTAAAATGAGTCCATTAATGTTTTTTTAAAAACTCCTGACTAGCTATTTTAGGTGGTTCTCATATTAATATTGACTGACAAACCTATTAACAGCTGAGTCAACAAGTTCAGTTGTCCAGTGTCAACACCAATGATGGGAGCGATGAGTGAGAAACATTAGTTTTCTGAAGGTTTCAGATGAGGCTGAATCGATAATGCTAACAGCGTCAAGATTCCAATTCCAAAATTATCATGAATTACTTTGTATAAAGGATTTACTTACACAGCAACAGGCTCTTTGAATTTGCCTTCTTTTTGTATTCTGAACATTAAATCACCACCATTTACAAATTCCATTACAAAGTACAATCGGTCCTGATAAATAAGCGATAAAAAAAATTAACAGTAAATTTATTACCAGTGAATCAAAAAATAAAACGCAAATGGGATATTGTAATCAGACAATGGCAACACTGGACAATGAATGTGGTTAAAAACGTCACGCATTAAAAGAGCAGTCAAATGGGAAATAAATACTAAAGATGACTTGTCAAAAGCTTTACTTCTAATAAAACTGATCAAAATGAGAAGGGATATGACAATAAAGCAGATGTAAAACGATTGGAGATAAATATGAACCTACACACAGCCAAACAAGGTTTTTGCTGTAATTGTCAAAGGATAGACAAAAAGTGAATAATCCCATAATATAAAACCAAAATGTGTCAAAACACCATGGAGATAAGATAAATGAGTGGAAGCAAGTGAATTCCTACCTTCACATTTATTTATTAAAACAGAAATGAGTACTCTGTTTTGAGAACCAGCTTCAGGTTGAAGGGTAGCCTTGGTATTCTCATTCTCGGAACAGTTTTCTAGTTTACTCAAGTAAATAAAGGTGTAAACAAGTGAATTTGAGCCAACATGTGATCACTGCCAACAAAAAACACCCTTCAAAATGAGCAGCAATCTTCAATTGACTGTCTTTAACGATGAGTGAAAGCAATATCATTTAGATGATATCGGCGAACTTCATGTTGGGCAATGTCCCTCTTTATATAAGAAGTACGTGTTATGCAAAAATACATGGTTGTCTAAACACAATTGTAGCAAACAATAGACATTATCCACTCTTTCAGATGTAACTCCTAAAATATAATCCGAGTGCCTTTATAACTCGTCTTGCCTTCCTACTTATGCATTGAAATCATATGCCACAATATCACATTTAAAAGTTTGGCTTTCAGGAGGAGATGAGCAGCCTATGGTAGAACTCATCCACAACATCAAACCAACCGACGTCAGTGAGTGCATGGACGGGCATAACGAAGAGATAATTCCTTTTAGTCCTAACTGCACCATTCAGTCGAACACAAGACAGGAGATTGTCAACTAGGATGACATCGAACAGTGCACTGAACGTCTTAGCGCTTAACTCTATGCCTGCACCTACAAGATCAAGAGAAGTGGAAATCAAATTAACGCGAACTAGAACAGCAGTTTGGAGTGCGATTTCAAAAGCCTAAAGATGCTGTTCCACAAACTCGAACCGTTATCGACGGCCGCAGTGCATGGCTGTACGAAATCAAAGATATCTTAGGAATATTATCAGAGAGATGTGAAGAAAGATTAGAGGGCAAAGATGTGGGAGACGTAATTACCTGAAGTAACGAGAGTATTGGCAGAGTTATGAGGGCATTTTTCACTTTTCGGCTGTTCACACTGTGAAAGGCTACTTCCTCAGTGGATGTCTAACGAAGAAATTGGATCAGTAATACTGAGGTATGATTGTGAACCCAAAGAAGGATATTCTCGAGGTCAGCTACACACTGCCTTTCAGAAATCCGAGATTTAACTTCTTTCCCTATAAATCCAGCTGGAACGTCTACACAGCTGTGGCTGGAATACTGCAGGTTAGGGGAGGGTGTGCTATTTTTGAGCCGATATTTTCACGGTGCCTTTTCGTGAAAAGGCAGACTGAAAATGGAATGCTGATTATACACAGCAAACACCTACCTAACTGTTGTCCGACACCCGTTCAGGCAGTAGTAAGATTTCACCCTTGAACCCCATCATAAAGTAGATATTTGGATTATGACAGTAACTGCTTTTTTAATTACCACGACCCAAAAAACTTCCCCGACAAAATAGGAGCTCATGGAACAGATGCCCCCACCTGCTAAACCCCCGGGTCATTGTGAAATGCAAGACCAATCCACCATGTCAAGCTGATAGATATCAGTCAGGATTCTACTGATGAAACTAATCAGAAAAAAACCAACCTGATTAAACACATTATTTTCGTTTCTTATTCAGTCCCTAATCCACCACCCAGTTATAGTTAAGAAAATCATTTAATGATTTTTCATATACACATAATCAGCTAATTCATTAGACACTGTGGTCATATAATAATGGTTTTTGAGGATAGTAACTTTTCTCAGTTAAGTATTGAGAATATGGCAAAATCTAATGTTCTCTTTATAAGTAAATATATAGGCTATACAAAATAATATCTTTTGTTTCCGTTGTTCAAAATTGTTTTGGTAACCAATGGTAACGGATGTATGTTTTTTGTGACCACAGACACCTAAAGTTTACTTTTGTTTCAAGATACATAATTAATATGATTATGCATTTGAAGCACCTGAATTACTTACAAGCAAGTGAATCAACTAACTATCATGAAGAATCATTGAATTCACCTGGAGGTATTATTATACTACAAATAAGCTTGAATAAAGTGAGTAGTTTACACCTGAAAGCAGAAATCTCTAGCCGGATTAGGTTGATTTAAACCACAGGTGGTTGTTTCTTCCGTTCAAGGGCAACTACATCATTGATATTACAAGATCCATTTAGCTGAGATAGTGGAAATGTTTAGGCTACCCAAATTCTTACAGTGAGTTGTTACTATTAAAAGCATTTTGATAATCTAAATTGTGCTTCCAAATAAGCCGTCAGACAATTTTCAAGGACTTGGCTAGATATACAGCTCACAACAAGTTTCTTCAAGGCAACACTAAACGCATTTTAATAAACTCAGTGGTAACTATATATATATATATATATATATATATATATATATATATATATATATATATATATATATATATATTCCCATCATTTTTAATTTACCTTAATTCACTGTATTTTAATCCTTTTTTCTGGCACTTTGCACACAACCTTTGTTGTTCTCCCTCTTTTTGTCAGATTTCCAACCACCTTGAACCATAATCATGTTCCTGCATCGCTATTAAGTCGCATTATTTTCTTTGTGTTCACTGTGATCTGATGTATTATTTTTCTTGGTCCCTTGTATTGGTTGATTAGGTAGTGAACTTTGTCATTCATTTAAAGCAATTGGTTCCTTTGATCATCTAAACAGAGTAATGAGAAGACGAAGATTCTGTTTCGGATAATTTTCGCCTTCTCATTACGCTGTCACTCGTCTCTGTTCCCATATTTATTTATGTCTATATGTGGGAGATATATACATGGTGTTTATTTTACTATCAAAATGTATCAAATGACATACTGGACACTGACTGCTTACTGTACACAATTTTAAATTTAGTGCATGTATAGAAGATCTAGAGAACATTTAATAAAAGTCGATTCATTCACCAGCGTTTGTTGCTCTTGCTTTGTTTATATATACATTTATTTTAATTTAGGAAGACAGTCAATACTGAAAAATATTTCAAGATATACATATAGTAATTTCGCCAACATAAAATACCAGGAACTTTACAGTTATTCAAGATTTCAAGGTTAAAAAGAGGAAGGCATGCCATTTGAATCAGTGGTACTAACACCAGCTTCAACGATTAGCAAACATGCAATGAGATGGGAAGTCATTGGCGTATGAATGAAGCAGATAGATGACGAATACACCAGCAAGTCCTGAGTTCGATCCCTGGCGAGGTCTTAGGTGAGTGCTACTGAGGAAACCCATACTAGGATGAAAAAGCTGTTTAGTGTTCATGGGGTTTTAGTGCTTCTCAGACCGATGTCAGTCGTTAAAAATCAATTTATATTTTTTAAAATCATCCAGATAATTAACCGCACTGTATTGACCACCCATTATTCGGCACTTCATTTGAGAAAGGAGTGGGGGCAACAGATGTAAAATCACTACAACCATGAATACACTTTTTATTGCCGATATCAACATACAAAACTCAAAAGTAAAACATCTGTCACCTGGGGAATAACATAAACTGCAGACTTCAACAAGAACAGCCGTGTAAAAGTCAACTGTTGTTCACTTAATGACTCCCAAACCACTACTACTTGACTGTTAGGAAATCAATGAACCAACGAAAGGCATTACCAACAATCGTTTCGCGATGCGTCAGTAAGAACAATTTCCCAAAACGCCTATTGCAAAATATTGTTTTGTTCCACTGTTGCACTCTAATGCACAAAATTTACAAGAAAAGTGTTATATAACGCATTGGAAGGCTATCACAAACTAATGAGTTTATTTCGCAACCTAGCAACAATATAATTAGTATGAACAATATGCAATGATAACGTTGCAGTTGAATGCAAGCAATATTGTGTATAGGTGAACTAATTTCATGTGTTTCAGTAAAGTAAGTCTTCAGAGCTCAAAAGTTAACAACCGATGAAATCACTAGACAACTCGCCGTGTCAGCACACATATGTAGTAACATAATTATTTTTACCAATTCAATGAACTATCGAAATTGGTTAAACATCTGAGTTTCACACTTGTACCCCGTGGTCGTGAAGGGATAGACAGGCACAAAATCTACGTAGAACCCCGCACATACGTGCGTCGGTTCACCCTGCAACACGCATAGAACAAGTGAGTAGAAAAAGAGTGATTAAGAAGTGGATTCAAGCGTGTAAGAGAAGAGGAAATTTACAGACTTTCGACGATACATCTGCGCCATTGCATTCTATTTCCAACCATGACATCAAGTCTCAAACTAGTATTATCACGGGAACCCTAGACGACAACCAAAACCTACCTACACGACTAACACAAATTGACAGACTTCATAGACTGGTGCCACGTTTTGGTCTGGCCACTCTGAGCCTTCTTCCAAACCAATCCAACTTCTTGTAGGTGGTGGCTTAACATGTACAACACATTTTCAAGCCACCTCAATAGGAAGGATTTCTCAACCTGCCTAATTGACTGAACTGCTTTTTTTACCTAGTACAATATGCTTGGGGTCAACATTGCTAACACGATGATTCCCCCACACACAAGCAACGCTAGGAAGACATCTGCGGTCAAAAACCTGTAAAATCCCATCATATCTTGTAATTACCACGACCATTTCTAGCACCCGTATAACAGGATAAAACGGACTGCACTGAGATGTACTCGTCATTTG